AACTACTGTTGTGTTGTCCAGTGTCCCTTGGTACTCCCTTGTCCGGGGGACGTGTCTGCGGATGCTGCAGGCAAGATCATTATTGAAGTGCCTGCCTGCTGGACCCAGACCAGACAGGGACGGGCTCGCACGGCTGTCGATAGTGATGTTCGGAGCGAACCAGTGGTGACGAGAGGGCAGTAGGCGATTGTGGGCTGTTTTCCAGCTTTAGCGCTGTTCACCAACCGAGCAGTCCGAATGCACAAGCATGCATACGCAGGCATTAAACCATCGTTACAACACCCAGCATCACCCAAGCAGCGTGAAACGGGGTCGCCTGATCTTTTCGGGGAGTGGCTGCATCCCCGGCAACGGCATGCTTAACTGGGTGGGGGCGCGGGGGTTGGATTTGGAGGTAAAACCTCTTGCGTCCTAAATCTGCGGAGGTCTGAGCCATTCAAGCGATCGGTTTTGTGTGACGTTTACAAGAACTGTCACCTTTCATGCCAGGCTGTGGATTCTACGGCCTTCCCAAAGCGTCTGTTACACATCTTGTCTTCGACAATCTCGAGGAATCCCCAGGCGCAAATACATGACGGCAGGCTTGGCCCTTTCTCAGAAATAGGCGCAGGGATTCTAAGTCCTTCAAAACCCCTAGCAGCCCTAGCAAGCATCTGCATCAGCCGTGACGTCCACGTGCTCCGGCACTGCCTGGTCTCTCGGAGTTCAAGAAATTCTGGGCACTGACAGCCAGCCTGGGGAGGGGTTTCGCTGCGAACAAACTGCGTTTGCTGTTGCTCTTGAGTGACACTACGAGCTAAGCGGTCCATGATGGATCTTTGAGCATCTTTAGCCCTACCGGTAGCCGAGGCAGTCTCCCGTTCGTGCAATGACAGCGTTTCACTGAGCTCCAGGTTGACATGTCACCCTGGCACCGCTCCAGATGTAGTTTCTTCGCTTCGCTCTTCGGGTGCTTCTGTGCTCTGTGGGATGCTCCATCCTTGCTCTTGTCCTGTCCTCCTCCCTCCGTCCATGCAGAGAGCGCTTCTGCTCAGTCTGCGTCCCGCGAGCACCGCGAGCACCGCTCCCACGGTCTTGTGAAACCTCAAAGTCTCCTGGTCGCTGATGGTCGCCGGGAGGCGACGGCCTTCCTTCGCCTTTGCCGGAGTTCCCGTGCAGCATGAGGGTCCGGGTGCCCGCAAAGGCAGGCGCCAGACTTTGCCGACGGGTTGGCCCAGCAGGCATCACTTGGGAAGGATTGACACGAGATGGTTGTCAGACGAGGTGTCTTGGCCATGGATGCTTCTGCTGTGTTACATGCTGCAGCGGCTTCGACCCAAGATTGTCGGAATTTGGGGTTGCGCCGATGTAGGCGCCTGCCTGCCTTTCTTTGGAAGTATGGGTTCCGTAAGGGCTGTTGCTCACCGAGCAGCCGTGCATCTTTTGAGGCGAACTGAGTCCTCGATGCGATCTACTTGATAGTCAAGCAAGGGCCGTCTATGATGCAGGTCTGTCGCCACACTCTGTCATCTGTCATTTTCTCCTGCGAAACAGCTACGGCGTCAGCTACGGACATCACCGCCAGTTCAGAGAGATTCGGATCGTGATTGTTGCCGAGGTTTATGCCCGGTCATGATCTGTGCAGAGTGTGGCCCTCGGGTGATCACTGATCGCATGCTGCTTGTCGAAGCCTCCGGCATACCGTTCTCTGTGTGCTTCGCGAGACTTTCTTCCTATTCCCGTTGCCTTTCTTTCAGTTTGCACCGAATTGCGATCACCGCTTCCGCGATCTGGAATCGAAGAGACGTCGTTCAGAGACGGATGTCTGCCTGACCAAAGCTACACCTGGAACATGGTTGAGTTTGCCTGTCTTCGCGGGAGAGTGACCGACTCTCCACCACTTCTCAGCTTGGCATGCATCCCGCGGGCGAGACACCCTGCTCTTCGGCACATTCTGTCAAGTCGCATGGGGTTCATGGCATGCCACTGATACCAGGGATCAGTAAGCTTTGCCGGACAAGGATCCTTGTGCCGGCCGTCAGTCGTAAGATGACTCCGTGTGCCTCCAAAGCTAGTCTATCATCACACCACTGATTTCACCATGCTACGTATCATGTTCTCTGGTACAGCAGGCGCGGATCCGTTGTGATGGTTGCGGAGCTTTGCCCCCGGTCATGATCTGTTCCGAGTCTGTGTCCGAGGTGATCACTTGTCGGGTGCTGCTTGTGGAAGCCTGCAGCATACCATTCTGTGTGTGCTTCACGAGGCTTTCTTCTTGCAGCCACCACTTGCCTCCACGTTATACCGCCTGATGCGATGCACCGGCAGCAGCAGAGGGACAAAATGCTCCGAGCACCACAGCAGCCTCGGGGTCCAGCGGCAGACAGTTCAAGTTGCCCAAGCTTAAACTCCACATGATCCAGCTGGACTCATCTTGAGCAGCGCTTGGGTCCTTGAAGATTTCCTCTTGGCACTGCATTCTACCACCATTACTACCTTGCTCAGGGGCAGCTGCTCTAAAAGGAAAGCCTCGGCTCTGCTCGATTTGCCCCAGATAGGTTTTTTTAAACAAAAACATATAGGTTTCAGGTTTTTAAAACACCTACGTTTTTTTAAAAAACCTCTACTCTCCGTGGGGAAGGGCCTCTTTCTCGTGGGTTAAGCGTGGCAAAGCCTCGCAGCAGGGGCGGCTAAGGAAAGAAACTCGGCTATGTCAGCTGTAGATCTTCTGCAGCTCTAGAGAGCAAGGCGTCTCGGAAGGCTCTTTCTGACAGGGCTTCCTTTGCTGACTAAAGGTTTCTTGAAGACCCTCAGACTTGTTTGTCTGCATGTCTCCGCAGACGCGCTTGGAAGACCTTGGGGCACAACCAGATCGCTGCTGATGTGCTCTGAGCTTTCTGGGAAGAGCTCCGTCCCGATCGTACTGCAAGACAGACGGTTTAGGGTTGAGGAGTGGGGGTTCCAAGCAAGCAGCGATTCTTGTATCTGATCCTGAGGAACGGTAAGAGCACGCGCCAGCCTTTTCGTCGTTGTGTCCCAGCCCTGAAAAAAGTTTCTCGGTGTTCCCAGGTCGCTGCATATTTCGCAGCCGCTTCCGCATGCGTGGCACAGGAGGAAGGCTTCTGAAGGCGTGAAGAAAGTTCATCTTCTGCAGCTGTAGATGGTTGCCACCGATGTTCCGTGCATGTGAGAACAAATAAGATGATAGCAGCGGACAAAGGCAAGTGACGATGCCGTGCTCGTGTCAGATCTCCCGGAGAAGAGCATAGAGGTAGGCCGCAGCCTCCCCCCTTCTCGCAGGCATAGCCTCCCCAGAACCAGGGGGAGATGAAGGCGTTGACTCTTGAGCTCCTCCAGAACCCTACGAAGGATACCCAAAATGGAGTCCTGGAAACCTATCTCAAAGAAGCATGGTTCGTTTAAGGGGTGGGGAGGGTCTGCATAGCTCCAGGCAGGCATGGTCCTCGGCAGCACAGCACCTCGGCACCTTGATATGCCCGAGGTCTGGTCTCTCTACCTGTGGGGCCCGGGCCCAGCACAAAGTCGAGGACGCAAGCAGCGATTCTTGCTGTTTGGGTTTAGGCGGTTTGAGTCACAGGGCTCGCGTCTAGGTTTTGGCTTCAGACTTCCTTCAGTCAATCTGCTGGCAGGAAGAGCCTGTTGCACTTTTCTTTCAGAAATTGCAAGTAGACAGTGGGCTTGAGCCAGTTTCGTACCCTTGTGAGGGGTGACAGGAAGCGGAGGAGCCCGATGCACCGAGCGAGGAGCTTCCAGCTGGGCCTTCTGCAAGAGTAGAGGGCAGCCGGCAGGGCATGTCGAGTGCGAGTTTTGCCAGAATTATCGGGTGAAGCGGAGGTGAGCATCCAAGGAGGCGCCTTCAAAATGGCACCAGGATGTTCAAGAACTCGAAGCTGCGGGCACCGCGTTGCGGCATGTTCCACATCAGGGCTTTCTTCGGTCGAAGCCTGGGCCCCGGATCTCTTGGTCCACCTGGCTCGACGTCTTTGGGGTTCGGGCGAGATCTGCTGGCTCCTCCCGTCCCTCCTTCGTCGCCCGTTGCTCCCGGTCAGACCTGTTTCGCCAAGCTCTGCCGTGCCGTGGACGCTGGAAGGCACGTGGCACCTGAGCGGCAGTGGCAGGCTTTCAGGTTGCTTGGGTCACGAAGCTTTATTGCGATGCGCCCGCCAGAACTTGGACAGCCTGTAGGCTTCCGCGCTCAGCGCAAAAGGCTTTCGCGATCTGTAGTGCACCTTCCCCTGGCAGACAGCCCGTGCCTGGGACGCCCGCTTTGCTCAAGCAGATTTCTTCCATGAGCTCTCTGGGGTAACTGCTCCGCTGTGGTCTAAGGGTTTCTTCCCAAGCATACTCCCTCAGCCTCCACATTGACATGTGTTTGTGCCGCGGAGTTACGTCAAGCGAAGCAGACCCAGGGGGCCCAAGAAACAGGGGCACAGTGCAGTGCAGGAGCTGATCGAGTTGCCACGCGCTTCATTGTCATGGCTGCGTGCCGGGATACTCCATGGAATCTGCCGGAGGTGGATCTCCAGCTTTGTTTTCATATACATGTGCAAAAGGCCTGCTGCCCCAAACACTGCACTGGGAAGGCAGGAAGCTTAGGAGGAAGTGCTCCCCACATGCATACAGTGTAGGTGTAAGGTGTGGTCTTATGTCCGTGTGCAGTCGCATTCCCTGGCCCTGTGGGAGCCGCAGAGGAGTATAGTATCGTGTTCTCTTCGTGAAGTCCGCCCTATGATGGGAGATGGCTGGCAGAAAATCAAGTGCGCTCCGACCACATGCGCGAACACTGACTTGCAGAAGATAGTTGCCGTGCTCGTCGGCAGCCACGGCGAGAGAGCTTCTGCATGCAGAGTGCTCAGCCCAAACAAACCCGTCTGCATCTGGTGTGGATTCCTATAAGCAGCAGACTCTGCTTTGAGGCATGCTCATCGAAGCCGGCAAGGAGTCACTGATGATGGGTCAGTCATCCCTCTTTCCACCTGTAGGTGCAACTTTGTCTCGCCATGTCCAGCAACATTTGTTTGTGGTCCTTTTTCAACATAATATCCTTATCCAGCTTCGTGAAAGTAGCCGCAGCCCAAGTTGCCGAAGCCGCTCATCTCCCCGATGGACGTGTCGCAATGTCGGATCTGCGCAGATGGAGAGTGAGCTATTCAACTATTCATCTCGAAATCCTCCTTGAGAGGTGCATCAAGAAACCTCTCGGGGCATCCGTCCGAGATCCCGGCGATCCCATGATCCGTCTGCTCTGTGCCACGGGCGGTGGGGGGGTGCAGTTGCAGGCTTTGTCGACGGGAGTGCAGTGGCCGGAATCCGAGCAAACAGTGCGGTCCCTAGTGCACCTGGCCATGCCGGACAGTCCGTGCCTAGGAGTTGCGAGCGCGCCAATGTTCCTCCATGAGCTCTCGTGTCTCTCTCCCAACGGAACGTGCTCCCCGCAGAAGGCATGCGGCAGTCTTGTGTCCTTGTGCTGCGCTGTGACCGCCTCAGGGGGGGCGCTTTGTTGCCGTCGTGAAGTCCGTGACGTCGCCAAGGTTTTTGGAGATGCCTGGCAGCGCGTCAAGTGTGCTCCGACCACATGCACGAGCATAGACATGCTCGCGGTCTTGCAGGAGATAGTTGTCGCTCTCGTCGGCAGCCATTTCGAGACCGCTTCTGCGTTAGGGGCGTCGTTCGAGGTCACGAGCAGGGAAAAATAACAACAAAGTGAGACTGGCAACCCGAACTCTCTCCAATGCATCTAATCGTATGCAGTCAGGTGGGGAGGCAAGGAGAGGTGATGCTGTTGCTGCTTTGTGTCATTTGGACCTGCGGCAAATTTAGAAACCCACCTTTTCTGAAGAGCCTTTATACTGGAATCCGATCCTTATTGAGGGAGGTTCCTTAAGAGCCTTCACATTAGAATCTCTGTTCTGATCCTTATGAAGGGAGGCGGGTGCTGGAAGTTTCGCAGCCCTCGCTTCGCCCCTTCAAGGTATCCTTTAAGGTCTTCTCGAAGGGTACCTTCTTTGAGGGACGCTTGCAATAAGGATCGTACTAGTCTTCGTTTGGGGTCTAAAATAGGAATTAAGGTACTTGCGGCGAGTTCCAGTTTCGAGTTCCTAGTTCTGACGGCTTTGAGGGAGGTCATTTCACGACATCAGCAGCAGCCAGTTTGTTTGGCCGCATCGCTGGCAGAAACATCCGAGTCCAAACGTGCAGAAGTACTGCACTGCCCGTGTGCCTGCCCAGTGAGTGACTCGTCAGCCTCGACCATTCCGCGATCATCGCGATCCAGCACCTGGGATTAGGTTTTAGGCTTCTTTGCTTGAGCTGCTCATCATGAGGATTGCTGGTCGCTGTCAGTGTCGTAGCCACGCCGGTCGGTTGTTGGAAATCCTTCCAGCTCCTGTGGCAGCAAGTCGCCACGGCCACAGAATCACATATCAATGTGATATTGTGCCTGCTTTGCGATTGACGCATTGAAGAGGCAGCTCCTCCTTCTCCTTTCGAGGACCCCCCAAAATTGGCCCGTTTTCCATGTGTCGTCGGAGGTGTGAGCCAAGGGCGGTGCTTAGCTGAGACCGCGACGAAGCCGACGCCGGAGCTGACTTCTCTCTTGCTCTCTGGATGCCACTCCGCCACCTATCCTAAGTCACCCAAGAGGCTCTGTGCGGCGGCACCAAGCTTCGGCCGCAAGCCTTGAGCTGCCGAAGCTCAATAACAAGAAGTCCCTAACTTGCCGGCGTCTTGGGCGTCTGAAGCGGAGCTCTTTCGGGGTCCTTCCTTCTCCCTGAAGCGCAGGTCCGCGGTGCGGGCCCCTGTGGTAAGAGTCCGGAGGGGGGGGGTTTAGGTTTCATCTTCGTAGGCATAGAGGCTCCAGTAAGGCTTTGCGGGAGAGCTTCCGTTGCTTCACCTCGGTTTCTGGAGCTTTCAGCGATCCTCCCGTCGTGCCGGCGCCGGAAGAGGAGGCGCAGGAGGAGGCGGCACCATGCACAAGAGAGCTTTTGAGTGGTGGCGATGTCCTGGCAGGGTCCAGTGTTTGCACCACATCCAGGGAAGCAGCGACTCCTTCATCCAGACGTTCTGAACCTGTCCAGCCGAGGTCCCCCGTTTTGTCAACCATGCCAGGCTAGATTGCTAGATCACATCCGGAAACAATGGTCGGTTCGATGTTTCGAGCTTCTCCACTGGTCCGCATCACCTGTAATAGTTGATTCTGCCGTTGTAGAGAGCTCTTCACCGGAAGAGCAGCATGCAGGGCCCCCGCTCCGCATGCCGACCCTCGGACCCAAGCGAGTGCGGAAAAAAAAGAAGAAGTGCGGCTGGAGCTGGTCAGTGACAGGATGATGGTTCTAAAGAACCCTAAGGCATTAAGCCAAAAAACCCCAAATTCGCTCCTCTCACCGGGACTGCTGGCTCGAAGCCGCTGCTTGAGCGGCATCCGGCATAGAGAAATCCACACAAAGACATGCGCCCATGCACGGCATGCCCGAAAGCCAGCACTCATGCACATCATCCATGCATGCGGACTTGCGAGCATGCACCCTCCATGTCTGCAGACAACAGACCCCCCCTGACACACACGGACAAAACTCATATGGGTAGTTGTCAAAATTAGGGTACCTTTTGGGGTACCTTAAATATTATAATAGGGACTCCAAAGGGACCCTAATTTTGACAACCACCCATATGTATGAATGCACGTATGCAGGTATGCGCCCGAGGCCCCCAACCCTCGACCTTGAGAGCCCCCAAACTAAACCCCAAGACTCAACAGCCCCAACATAGGAACCCGAGCCCAGCACCCCAAATCACCAAAAACCCCCAGAGCCTGAAGCAATAAACCCTAAACCTCCTAAACCCGGCCCTAAACCCTAAACCCTAAACCCCCAACACCCTAAACCCTAAACCCTAAACTCCCAAAAACCCTAAACCCTAAACTCCCAAAAACCCTAAACCCTAAACCCTAAACTCCCAAAAACCCCAAACCGACGACGTGGCATCCCGAGCCTGGCATGGCAGTATGGGCCTCGGAGGAGCCTCGGCCTGTCGGAACCTTTTGGTTTTCTGGTCTAGACCCTCCATCACAACCTGGGGCTTGCTAAATCAGGGTTTGGAGGTTTAAGGTTCAAGGTTTGGCGGTTTTTGGGGGATCCTCCACCCCCCTCCATCTACCCTCTATGAGATCCTAAGTACCTACTACTTGGGACCAAATACCCCTATTTGAGGGTACAGGGAGGGTCCTGGGTTTAGGGTTTTCGGGTTCAGGTTTGGGATTCCTCTCCTTCTTCTGAGGGTGCAAAAAGGATTTAGGAGTCTCGGGTTCCATGATGAGCTGGCCCTAAACCCTAAACCCTAAACCCTAAACCCTAAACCCTAAACCCTAAACCCTAAACCCTAAGAGGGCTTCAGTAGGGCTTGGACAGGGCCTTTTGGGGCCTTTTTGGTTCATTCTGAACGTGTTTCATGCGAGGGTTTTTTTGGGTTTAGGGCCTTGAAGGGTTTTGTGGGGTGCGGGGTTCGTATTCAAGTCTAGGGTTTCGGATTCAAATTTCAGGATCCTACCAACCAGAGGTTCGTGGGCTTTGGAAAGCCAGGGATCCTTATCTTAAAAGGGCTGCGGTTTGAGGTTTCCTGTTTGGGGTGTAGGGATTGCTTTTGATTTTCCGAGTTGTGCTCAGAAGACAGAAACCATGCTGCACGACCTTGAACCTTCCAAACCCCAAGCTCTTTAGACACCAGGCCGCAAAAGTCGTGTAACGCCAAGATAAACCAACCGCTGTTGGAGAGAGAGAGCTGCTTTGGTTGCAGGTGCGACACAGGAGCCAGGATTTCTGTGCATCGGCCCGCGGAGATTGGCGAGGCAATGCTTGCGCCGCTCCCTCAGTGGGTTCAGGGAACCCTAAACCCTAAACCCTAAACCCTGAACCCTGAACCCTGAACCCTAAACCCTAAACCCGAAAGCCGTCTGATTTCAGAGGCTGTTGCGGCCAATGCTGCAACTTCGTCCTGGACTGCGTGGACGTGGCTCTGCGCGTCGCCTGGCCAAACAGCGGGAAACCCGTTGCTGAACAGGTTAGCCTGCGCCTGCACTAAACACCCTAAACCCTAAAACCCTAAACATATTGGGTATTTTTACCCAATATGTTTAGTGCTCCCGCAGTGACTGTCATGGGTACTGCTTGCGGAGCAAGTCTGAAGCTTAAACTGGCACGCCGAAACCCCAAACCCAAAACTGTAACTATGCTCAGACCAGAGACCCCGCACCCAATGCCAAGAACCCGCTTAGGAACCCTTGAAAATCCCCCTGGTACCCTGCCAAATGCGGCAAAACCTTCCAACAACCCTGAACCCAAGGTGCAGAACGCCAGCTGGTGCACTGTCTTCACTCACAGATCGCTACATGATCTGAGGGATTTTTAAAACCGTGAACCCACCCTCAACCCTAAACCATACACCCTAAACCCTGAACCTCAAACCCTACACGCTAAACGCAGGTCATCGGACCATTGTTCGTTCTGCTCGCGCTCTCTTTGGTCAGCTTCGTCACGTGCCCACGTCCGAACTGCCAAGTCCCGACCAAACAGCGGCCCCTGTTTCAAGGCATTCCTGGATGCGTCTGTAGCGTTCAGGGTTTGGGGTGCGTTGAGGTCTTCCGAAGCGGCTCAAAAGGAGGATCTGCAAGGATTGAACGGTTTAGGTTCAGGGTAAGGGACTTGGGATTGTTTGGGTAACATTATTTGAGTCATCAGCTGTACGTCACATCCTTGGGGTCATAGACAATATAGAGGCCTGAAGAACATCTCCCTTTCGTCGCTATCTAAGGACCGCATATTACAATACGTAGTTTGCGTCGGCGTGTCCCAATCGTTAAGGCCCCTAGATATCTTGCGGGAATCAGGGCAGCCATGCAAGGGTTTTGCAACTCCAAAAAAGCTTCAACTGATGCTATCACATGTTCCGCTCCGTTTCGAGTGGTTGTGCTTTTGTTCTGAGATTTTCTCGTCTTTTTCGAGCGGTTGGCTCATGTTCTCAAATCTTCCAGCCTTTTTCGAGCGGTGCCTCTTGTCCTGTGCTTCCGCAGCTGATCCTCAGCTGCCACAGTTCCTTTCGAGCGGTTAGCTCCTTTGCTCAAGTCCTCTGCTGTAGCCCCTTTTCAAAGGATTTAGTCCCTTTCGAGGTTTGCTCCTGTTTCTCCGATGCTCTATTGCCTTTCGAGCGGTTTGCACATCTGGTAGTCACTATTCTCTTCAAATTTTTTTTCACATGCCCCCCGAGACATGATACATTCTGGTTCCATTTTCAGGCAGTATAGATTTTGGACCTGGATGATTAGAAAACCGTAGCCACCTAACGAGCACAGCAATCTTGCCATCAGCTCTTGATGCTTCCGTGGTCTTATGTGTGATTCAGAAGGGGTGCTTCGTTTCCGCAAATGAGGGCCTGGGAGGATCCAGATGGAAGTTTTCACAACCGGTCGCGAGCTGTAAGCACCGAACCTGAAGCACCGAATCCTATTAGCAGCAAAGGTTCGAGGTTTAAGGCTCAACATATGTTGCATTCCCTCGAGGGTCTCAGCAGACGGCTGTTGTGTCATGGACATGACAAGATCTGAACAGGTTTTACGAGTTTACACCACATCATCATGCTCCCTAGATCCGAAGCCAAACCCGTGTCACCACACCTCAGGTACACTTTTTTCACCGTCTTGATACCGCACCTGGCGGACTCGGGAACATCCTCCAGCCAGCCACACACCCAGCATTTTCCAAGAATCCTCAAGTGGTGACGACGAGGGCTTAGTCAGGGATGCGAGATGATGCGAGGACCCTTGGTGACGAACCGAACATGCCTTGCTTCGTCAGGCATCCCGACCATAATCTTGACAGGATGTCTTTTTTGGGGGGTTCAACGGTTTAAACAGGTTGGAGGAAGGTCTCCTTTGGGTGTTGGAAATTGCTTCGTCTGCTTTCCGCATGATTCTCAGGCCACTTTTTCATGTGACTCATGACATAGCGCGAGGGGTTGAGGTCCCATGTCATGACCCTAAGCCCCAAACCCTCCCTCAATCCCAGAACCCCCTTCACCTAAAACCTAGCAGCCCTTAACCAAGCCCTTAACGCCCCCTGAACCCTAAACCCCAAGCCCTGAACCCTAAACCCCAAGCCCTGAACCCAAACTCTAAACCCCAAGCCCTGAACCCTAAACCCCAAACCCTGCGAATCCCCTTGCCGATTGATCCAGGTTGCTCCTCGAGATGGCCCTGGGATGCTTCCTGCTGGTGCCGCGGCGCTCGCTTCTGAAGCCTCTGTTCGGCTGCTGCTACTGCTGCTACTACTACTACTGCTGCTGCTACTACTACTGCTGCTGCTACTACTACTACTACTACTACTACTACTACTACTACTACTACTAACAACAACAACAACAATAAGAATAAGAATCATAAGAGGAACAATAGCAGTGATACTGATAATAGTACGAATACTAGTTAACAATACCAAGAATAACAGTCATAAGAAGAACAATAATAGTGACAATCGTAGTAGTAAGAATAAGATCCGAGGCCCGGAAGGCCGAGGCCCCCCCAAAGCCTACGACGTGGTACGTCGTAGATTCGTAGATCCTACATCCCGAAACCCTGCCACTGCACTTGAAAAAAAACTAAACCCTAAACCCTAAACCCAAACTTATCATCCCAGAGCTGATGCTGATCTTTGTACACCCGAAAACCCCAAGCCTCACATCCAAAACCCTAAGCCTGGGTGTTTTTGTTGATGCCATGCCTTTCCGTTCCGGGAGTTCGACTTTGGGCTTCAAGTCGATACTCTCGAACAGGGGAAGGGGGATCTCGAACCCTTGTGCCCAAAACCAGCGAAGGGCCCAGGAGCAAATCTTAAAACCTCAAGCTTCAGCCCCACAGCCCTTTTGGGCCCACGGCCCTTCGTGATATCACCTGTGTAGGAGTTTTGGGCTTCACGGGGTTTTAGGTTTGAGTAAGTATGAGGTCACCTGGCGGGGAGCAAGTATAACGTCACCTGGCGTAGTTTTGAAGCTACGTTGTTCACTTCTGGTCATGCAAACCCCGAATCCCGAACCCGAAACCCTGCACCTCCTCAATCCAACCCCCAAACTTTAATACCCTAATCTAACATCTTCACCCACAAGACGTAAACCCCTCAATCCTGAACCCTATAGAATCTGCTCCTGAACCCTAAACCCTAAACCCTGAACCCCGCCAGGTCAACATCCTTTACAACTATGCCATGGCTGTGTGCTTGAATCCGGGGGTGCCCCCGGAGTTTCCAGGCACCTTCTTAGGGTTTAGGGGTTCAGGGTTTAGGGTTTCGGGTTTCCAGGCACCTTCTTAGGGTTTAGGGTTTAGGGGTTTAGGGTTTAGGGTTTCCAGGCACATTCTTAGGGTTTAGGGTTCAGGGGAAAGCAACCCTGAAGCCTTTACCCCCCCCCCCGAAAGTCGCTTCCTGCACCCAACAAGGAATCTTTACTATTACTATTCCTTAGGATTCGCATGTCACTCTTAAGGCCCCTACATTTAGATATGTATTTTTCGTATGAACCCTTGTCTAGTTCTGGAACCGCTACTGCTGTGCCCTAAGCTGCTGACAAAGAGCCCTCAGACTTGTTCGAGTCCGTAGAGTGCATGTGATGCACCAATGAGATCCAAAAGTTACTGTGAATAATTGGAATTGGTAGTTCACTTAGAGTCCCAATTTTTTTGGCTATGCTCTACCATCCACACCCTACTCGAAATAGTACGGGTCCGATATTGAAGCTTCAACTCCTGTGATGTGATGTCCGGAGCATTAGCCATACACGCGACAGCATGATACTGGTGGTGGCCATCAGAAGAGCAGTAGATCTCTGAACCGTTCTACCTCAACGATCGCCGTAAACCCCTAAACCCGACACATTGGCCTTGGTTCGCTACAACCTGAACCCTGACCCTACCCTAACCCCAAATAACCTAGATGCTTTAAGGACTCATAGAAGGAAATCATAAGAAGGAAGCCTAAAATTGTAGGGTTCCTTAGGGTCCAGGAGGGTAAATCCGAAAGCTGGTAAACATTGGTCCTCCAGGCGAGGCGCTTGAAAGCAAGGACGGCGAGCTCGGGGACTATGCCCCAGCACCCAAGCAGTGCCACAAGCCGGGTCCCCAGGGCTGTTTCACTACTTAGGGTTAAGGGTTTAGGACTTCTTATGCTTGTTATTGTGATGATGGTCCCCAGAAGTGTTTCATCATAGTTAGAGTCAGAAGAACGGTTATAGCAGTTCTAATTGTTGGGATGGTTAGTATGATCTTACTGTTCTCATTTTCGAGTAATTACCGTTGCTGTTCCGCTATGATTATTGCTATTAGGATTGTTTTTGTTTCTTCATCTTGTTGGTCTTATTCTTGTTGTTTTCATTGTATAATGATCTTGTTTTGAGTTCATGGTTGTGTATTGTAAGCAGACTATGTTTTCAAGACAGGCTTAGGTGTTAAAGGCGAAGGATTTTTCAAGATACTGTCGATGTACATCACCCCGTGCCGGTTCCGGTCATTGTGTCCGCTCTTTTTGCAGCTTGCGGTTCATCGAGCTGAGCCACGCTTGAAGGTTAATCTGTAGCTATCACCTTCAACCCTGAACCATCAACCCTAAATAAACCCTAAGCCTTCAAAAAGGAGCTCAACAAGCACGCTCTCAACTTGAGGCGCAGAAACCCTCAACTCCAAACCGAGAGCTCTGAAGCAAACGCTCTTTGCAAAGAGTCTCGTTTGGCGGCCCGAGCCATAAACCAAGGGGCTTTCAAAAGGGTACAGGCAAGCCCCTGAACCCTAAACAATAAACCCGTGAACCCTAAACCCTAAAGCATCTTTGAGCATTTTTCAGCAGATCTTTGGGCTTTGAGGCTTCTTCATACGTTCTACAGCAAGGATCTTCCCGGAATGCGTTGCTAAGAAGAGTGTGACGACAACAGCAACAACAAGAAATCACACGAATCCCGGACTCTCATGGCCCTAAACACCAAGGGCCTTGGAAGGCCCCCCCGCACCCTGTAATAGTGACTATAAGGATTACATTAGGGTCCTATTATATTCCTATTATACCACTCTTACAGGGTGGTGGGGCCCTCGAACATAGGCCCTACTTACCGAATCAGGGAGGTAAAACCCCTCCACCTCGGAGGTGTTTGAAGCTCAAGCCTCCGCGTGCACACCACTGCAGTGCGCAGCGCTTGGGTCGAGAGGCTTTTTAGAAATATTAGCATTAATGACAATAGTAATGGTAATAATAAGAGTAATCATAGCAACATTAGTAATATGAATATCGCCATTGTCATGACTATTTTGGGTTCTGTGTCTTTCTTGGTTTAGTTTAATGCGAGGTTCCAGGGGTTGTTTGGGTCTTTTTAGGCCAGCCAATGATTGTGATTTTGTTTGGCCGTATGGGCTTCTTATACGTAGGTATGGGTAGTTGTCAAAATTATGGCCCCTTCTTAGGTACCCTAAATAATTGGTGCCGTATTATAATAGGGACCCAAAAAGGGACCATAATTTTGACAACCACCCATATGTTGTTTGGGTTGCTTTGAGGGTTTTGGGTGGGGCCTGTTTTGGTTCTTGTTAAGGACTCTAGCCCTATTATGTGGGGATTCAGTGTCTAGGGCTTTAGGGTTTTGGGGCTTCAGGGTGAACTCGTTTCGAAACGCCGGAGAGTAGAAGCAGTGGCCAGGGTGAAGCAGGTCATAAATCAACACACGAAATAGGATACGCCTATATGAACCCAAAACCCTTGTCCATCCGAACAGGAGCCCGGAACAAGCCCTCAACCGAGGTTCTGACTCAGAAGCCTCCCACCGGGTAGCTCCCCAGCGAAGACCTCGGACCTTGAGCTCTCAGCAGAAGCGAAGCAAGTCCTCGAAACCCTGAGAGGTAAGCCCTAAACGCTGAAGCCCTAAGCCCCAACCCCAAAACCCCAAGCCCCGGAGCCCCAATGTGCCGCCATCGCCAAGGTCTGCAAGACCTGCGTGATGAAGATGGATCATCACTGCCCGTGGATCAACAACTGTGTCGGCATAAACAACTATCGGTGCCACTGCTGCGCGAGGTTATAAACCATCCTGAACCCTAAACCCCTAAACGCCTTAACCCCTGAGCCCCTAAACCCCTAAAACACTAAATGCCAATGCCTCTGAGCGCGAAGCCCCAAGCCGGGAGAGGCAACTGCTTGTAGAGGCTCCTAGCTTTGGCTTTGCACAGTACATGCTGTGGCCCCTAAACCCAAAACCCCAAACCCAAAACTTGAGGGTTTTGGGGTTTAGGGTTCACAGTAGGGTTTAGGGCTAAACCCCGAGGTACTTCTGCCTGTTCATGCTCTTCCTTGCCATGCCAGGACCTGAGCCTTTAGGGATGCGGCTGAACTACGTGTTCGGGAGCTGGGAGCTTCCCTGCCAGTGATGAGTACCGCTTTAGGGAGCCAGGGTGTAGGGTTTCGGCTTGCATGCTTTCTGTATCTGCCTTGTGTCTGTTGGCCACATTCACTCTCCTGTGCCCCACATGTCTGAGAGCAGAACAGGCCTTTTTCCCGCCATCCTGGATTCCTTTCTCTTCTTATCTCCAAATGACCTCTGCTACTTTCTTGCTTTTTTTCGCTGCTGTCAACTGAAATCCGAACGCCGTAAATCCCAAAGCCTCCACTGTGCAAGATCTGAGCTTCTCCCCTGCTTGCCCCAACCCTAAACTCGAACCCTCAAAACACGCTTCAAATCTTAGCAACCGGAAAGACTAAACAGGCTTAAATGCCGCCAAACAGAAGAACACGCCCAGGAGCAATCCTGAACTTCAACACTCCCTCTGCGGCCTTCTGGATTCATTCCCCAAGACGCAGCTTACAAACCCTAAAGTCTCCACCCCAATCACCCCTTAAACCCTCAAACCCCTAAACCCTTGGGCTTCGAAGCGCAGGCACCGAAAAAAAGGAACAACTAAGCAAAAGCCCTTAAACCCTTGAGCCCCAAACCCCTCTGACCCCCCCTTAAGGCCCTTAAACCCAGAAGCCCGGAACCGCTTAAAAACCCTAGACCCTGTCCGAGGGGCTGCCTTTACTACACCGTCTTGGGCTCTCGCCTCTTCTTCCAAGCCATGACTCCGGCCAGGCCTCCGCGACGACGCCGCAGTTCTGGCACTTTTTTTTTACTGTAGGATAGGGCTTTGGGGTACGTTGTAGTATGCTCGTAATAAGGAGCCCTGGGAATCAGATTCTTCTTCGGTGGACTGTAGTGCCGCAAGCCGCACGTCCCTAGGAATCATATTGGTAATTAAATAGGCTTCTACATGGTAGGGCGTATTGAAGGCCTCGAGGCTTTCGATCGTTTGTGAAGATGGGTGCTACGGTTTTTAAGGCTTTTTCAGGGGCTTAAGGGTTTTACTACAGAGCGGCCATATATTGCAAAGGGATCTTGACATGATTTACGGTATCTTCCATCAGTTGGGCTCTTTGGGTAAGCAACTGCAAGCTGGGTGCTGCTGCCTAAACCCCAAACCCTAATACCTTCAACCCCAAACCCTAAACCCGGAAGCCCTAAACCCTGAACCCTGAACCCTAATCCCCAACCCCAAACCCTAAACCAAAAGTCCCAAAACCCCAAACCCAAAAAACCCTAAGCCCCAAACCCTGAAGCCCGTTATAAGTGGGGTCATAAGTAAGGTGACTATAGTTATAGCCCATATAAGGGGATTTATAACCCCACTTATAACTACCCATGGACCTCCAAGTTGAAGGCTGCTAACTCATCTTCCGCTCTGTGCCGGACATCTTGAGACACCTGCAAGTTGGGAGTACCATATAGGATATTAAAGAGGATCCCCAAAGAGCATCTACTATGAAGCCTCTAGGTATAGTCAACCCCAGAAAGTTGGAAATCGGATTAAGGCCGAATAGTGCTGGGCTTTCCTATACATTAATCTTAACGATTGAGGCTATTGGGTTTCCAGCTTTTGGGCTTCTATAAGGTAGATGGAGCAAGGTCCCAATAAGCACCCTGAGCTAATGTCGGCATCGGAAACATGACCAGTACTATGTCTCTGGGTTGTTTTTTAATACGCATAGTCGAGTATACCACAAAATCCTGCTAAGTATTACGGTCCCCGTATTGAACCTTGCGCCACAAACCCTGAACCCTAAACCCTGGCTCCTCCTAGTACAGGAATTCTAACTGTTCTGCAGTTCGAAAAGGGCCCATCTAAAAAAAAAACCTGGCACCCTAAACCCTAAACCCTAAACCTTAAACCCTAAACCCTAAACCTTAAAACCTGAACCCTAAACCCTAAACCTTAAGCCCTGAACCCTAAACCCTGGCAGCAGGAAAAGGACCATCAAGCTCAAGTTCGAGGACATCCAGCGGGAAGCTGAGCTGAACAAGCAAAAAAATGGTGTAATACTAAGATGTCATAACATACCAGTGTGTTATACCATATAATGATGGCATGGTATGAGATAATATGCTAACATGTCATATCATACCAGTGTGTTATAACATACTAGTATGTTATAACATACGGTATATGTACATATATATATATATACACATGCAAAGATATTGTGCTGATCTTGTTGTGACTAGAAGATGGAGTTAGGTGCGTGAAAGCACCTACCCAAATAGGGGCTTGTGCCACCTCAGCACGGCCGATGCCGTGCTTTTGTGTCGATGCAGTGACCTGTTGTTCTTCCTGAAAACTTCTTCTGGTTGCTTTGGAGGTCCTTTGAATTCGAGCGCCACTGCATGTTTCCACGGAGCGTGCTGGTTCTGATTAGTTACATGTTCACTCCTCTCGGCTTTGTGTTTTAACATCTCAGGCAAATGAACAATTGCAAACATCAGTCTTCAGCGTTCCCTGCTACAGGGTGGTCTAGCGAGAAGCCGTGGATCTACGAGCCCTTAAGAAAAGGCACAAAGCCAGGGAAACGTAGAACAGGTGTAGTCACGAGGTATCTATCCATGAGCCCTGAACCAGGCTTTTGGGGCCCGTTATATTATAACTATAATAAGGAACCGAACTTGAAGCCCCAAAGCGCAGGTGTGTCACACTCTCTTGGCTGGTGAGTATCTGCATCTTCTGTGCGCAGGGGGCCGAGAGCATGAATGAGGGTGCTTTTTGGTTGTTTTCGGAAGACACCAGTACCACTACCACTACCACTAATTACTACTACTACGACGACGACGACTACTGCTACTACTACTACTACTACTACTACTACTACTAGTACTACTAGTACTACTAGTACTAGTACTAGTACTAGTACGACCACCACCACCGCTACCACCACAAGTACCACTACGTCTACTACTATTGCTACTGGAACTATACTTAGCCTGCTGCTACTGCTACCACTGCTACCACCGTTACTGCTGCTACTACTACTACTACTACTACTACTACCACAACCACAACACACCACAACCACAACCACAACCACTGCCACTGCCACGACCACTACCACTACCCCTACCGCTATCACTACCACTACCACTACCACTACCACTACCACTAGCACTAGCACTAGCACTAGCACTAGCACTAGCACTACCACTACCACTACCACTACCACTACCACCACCACTACTACTAGGACCACCACTGCTCCTACTCTAGTCATGCTGCCGCTGCTCCTCCCCCTCCTGCTTGTGCTGCTGCTGCTTCTACGTTCAATACTGCTGCTGCTGCTACTCCTACTACTGCTGCTGCTGCTGCTGCTGTGCTTTGTCTTACCAATCTCTGTGCTGTCCGGTCGTGCAGCTGCAGATCCAAATTGTTGACCTAACCTCGAGAATTATGCAGGATCTGCCTTCTTGGCGGCTTCCACTTGCTCCTTGGATGCGCTTGGGTACTTCACTAGATAACACGGGGTCCCTCTTCACGGTTCCTAAAAGAGTACATCACGCATCATCACGCCTCCACTAAAAAACCCTAAAGCCCCAAACCCTGAGTCCCGAAGAGGTCAAGCGCCCTTAACTTCGGAAATCAGATGCTTTCCTGTCCACCCGGGTTGCCTACAAATCCTCATGTACCTTACCCTACCAAACCCTACTTGTTTGTAGGTGCTTAGTATGAACCCTAGTATGGAGTTCATAGAGACCCTACAAAAATTAGGTTGTGGTAGGTTAAGGTAGAGCCTTACCAGACGGAGCCCTAAATTTCCCAATCAAGGTAGGTTCCAGACGCAAAAGTCAGAGCCAAGAGTTTCGGGTTCAGGGTTTAGGGGATTATACTATAGGATCCTTAATGGGTAATGGGGCAGATAGTACTGAAATTGAGATAAGGAACCATAGGGTTTAGGGTTTGGGTTTGTCAGCAAGATTTTTGCTTGTTTGGCAGGAGCCCTCTGTGCATTTTGCGTGGCCTTCCGTCAGGTACCTCGTGCTCACCAACCAGACCACCATCGAGTTTCACACGAACATGGCTGGTCGACAGATGGCTCGCAAGCGGGGTGAGATACACAGGACCATTTAGCATCCCCGAAAGAGCTTAAACCCTAATATAGGGGCCTAAATAATTACCAATGCTATTGTGGGGTTCCTTGTTATATTGATAGTGTAATGGGCCCCAAAACCCTATTCTAATTATTAAGCCCCCTGCATTAAGCCATCCGCCGAAGAGAGCGCAGGAACCCCTACGACTTGGGCATCAGCCGAAACTTCCAGCAGGCTGCTATGCGTTTTGCATGGTAGGGTTTCACTACTTGGAGGTTCTTGGGTAGTTATATTATATAGGTTCCTTTAAGGGTTCCTTTAAAGGGATCTATAGGCATTCTCTAAGGGTGTAGGGTGTAGGGCTTGCTTGGAGGTTCTTGGGTAGTTATACATGGAGTCATAAATCCCGTAATATCGGCTATGACTAAAGCTAATAGGAACCCTACTGATACGACCACCTATAACTACCCATGAACCTTCAAGTACGGCCACCACCCTCAAACCTTAAACCGTAAACCCTACATGCTAAACCCAAGACGCTAAACCAGAAGACAAGAGAACCCCTTACTTCACAACCGTGCCAAACCCTTGGCTCAGTCCCGTTGAAAGTCGTATCACAACAGTTCTGAACGCCTCTGGACTCTAAGCCAGGTGCAAAAACAGATTACTCCCCAAAACCCCACGAACTTGTTGTGTTAACGATTTCCAACTCAAAACCCAAACAACTCTGCAAAATCATTATGCGGAACCCCCCAATAGGAAGCCGGAAGCCTCTTCAAAACACCTATAAGTCCCCCTTCAAAGGCCCACGTAACAGCCTGCCCTAAACTAATGCTGGTGATGCCTTTCGCGACATCTAGGAGCCTCTGGCATCGCCAGCGCACGCGCGCTTAGCTCCAGCATCCGTTACAAGAACGGATGCTTACTGCTTGCAGCTGAGCGCGAAGAGTTAGCTTCGTGCTCCCTACAGCATTCGTTCTCTTCGGGGGGTGCATTACGCTTTCAGCGTAGAAAGTGATTAACTAGTATAGTTTAATACCCTAAAGCCTGGGGTCGAGATCCTAAATTGCTTGTGAGGTTTGGACGGTTTTGAGGCTCGTCCCGTGAGCGCCTCCGTCCCGTAATTCAGAGTCCCGTAAGGAAGATCGTCCCGTATACGTCCTTCCCTGTGTAGAGTCCTGTAATTCAGAATCCCATAAGGAGGCTCGTCCCGGTGCCTCCGTCCCGTACTTAAGCATCCCGCAAGGAGGCCTCGTCCCGTAAGCGCCTCCGTCCCGTATTTGCGAGTCCGGTCGTCTCGTAAGCGCTTCCCTATGCAATTAAGAGTCCGGTAAGAGTAAGCGCCTCCGTCCGGTAATAGCCTCCTTCTGGAATTCCGAGTCCCGTGAGGAAGCTCATCCCGTAAGTGCTTCCGTCCTGTAATTGAAAGTCCTGTGAGGACCCTCGTCCCGTAAGCGCGTCCGTCCCGTGATTAGTTCAGGATCCCGTAAGCTCTTCCCGTATGCGCCTCCGTCCCGTAATTGAGAGTCTACGCTTCGTCGTCTTTCCTTGTGAAGGGTCCTGTGATTGAGAGTCCCGTAAGGATGCTCGTCCCGTAGCGCCTGCGTCCTGTACTTCAGCATCCCGTTTCCGTAATTGAGAGTCTACGCTTCGTCGTCTTTCCCTGTGCGGGATCCTGTAATTGAGAGTCCCGTAAGCCTAAGCATCGCATAGGGAAGCTCGTCCCGCAGGCGCCTTGCAAGTCCGGTCGTCCCGTATAGGCGCTGCCGGCTCGTCCCATGAGCGCCTTCGTCCCGTAATTGAGAGTTTTGTAATTGCGAGTCCCGTAAGGAGGCTCTTCCCGTAGCGCCTCCGTCTGCCTGGGAGCCAGCGGACATCAAATCTACGCTCGCGAGGTGGAGGGTATGACGGCTGGACAACAAAAAAGATCGCTTTTCTCTGGCTTCCTTGTTTTCGATGCAATCCCCGCGCCGATCCTGGAAGCTGCTGGCATGCAGACTGTCCGTGCCACCCTGAAAACACTGGCTCGCTTGCGCAAGCGGGACAAGCTGCTGTGCGTTCTCGGAGTTATGCAAGATCTCGCCGCCAAAGCGCAAAGCCTGCGCTCTGCATGCGAGGATGCGGCGGCGAGAAGCCCGACATCTTTGGTCAGCACCAAAGGTGGGATGAACAGCTCCGGCGAAGACCAACCGGACTTCGGCCGCGGCGAGGAAACGGCTGACTGAGTTCTGGCACCTAAAAACAGTTCTGTCAGGTTCGTTTGGGTTTGTGACAGGTTCCCTTGATTGCGGGGGACATGCCGTACATTGTCAAATGAAGGACTGCACCTTGTCTCGCAATGTTAAGAGTACTTACGTTATGTCAATGCCTTGAAGAAAGGCAAGCTTCCAAGACTTTGAGCTGCGACATAAGACATTGCCGACAGTGATATCGCAGGTGTTGCCAACGTTCCGAGTACATCGAGGCACTATTGGCGAGCGTACGATTCCAGTATGCGGTGTAGTCTGGCAACCAGTGTGCTGTGCCAGGAGGCTGTTTGCGACAAATGTGGAAAGCTGGGAAAGACAATGTGCCCCCGTGTGTTGGCGCTGCAGCACGTTACGCTTTTGCGCATGCTCGTGCTGCAAATAGCACGCTTCGCTCGGGCCTCTTTGCACTGCGTCACGCCCCGCATGTTTGTCAAGTGACTGCTTTGCTCTGCAGTTGAGGCCTGCGTTGGCGGCAGTTGTGATCACAAGACTGAAGATGAAGTCGAGACCATGCTGGCTCCGAGATCCCTGCCTGGGGGGGCCGTTTCTTGTTTGAGCTTCGTAGCATTTCGCGGACATGGAAAAGATTCCCAGCCGTGCGGACCCAAAACCCTAACAGATTCAATGTCTGGGTGGTCTTCGGGTGGGATGTCGCCTCCAGCTCGGCACGCCGCCCCGCGACCCTCTGGGTCGAGGCGCGCCGCTTACTATGGGAAACCCCTAAACCCTGAACCCCAAACCCTAAACCCCAAGCATCCCAAACCCTAAACCCTAAGCCCTTAAACCCTAAACCCTAAATCCACATCGCAGCCTGCAGGTGTTCGGGCCGAATCCTTTCTTGGGCTTCCGCTGGCTCCTTCCCTACGTGGCAAGGAGGCTGGATAAGCTCCTTTTTATAATAGAATATTTCTTGAAAGAAGGGGTTTCGGGCTCCTGGAAGCGGTTCCAACCACGGTGTGGGGTTTCCTAGAAGGCGAATTTTCGGATAGGGGCTAAGATGGCCGATTCTTCTGTGATATCGCTTACGGCTGTGCCAGTCGCAAAGCCAAACCTTGCAGACAAGCCAAAAGCCCAAAGCCAACAAACCCTAACCCGAGGCCCTTAAAGACCATCAACCCTTAACCACCTATGCCATCAGCCCAAAGCTCTAAACCTGAAAAGCTAAAACCCTGGCCTTCAGACCACCCTAAACCCTCAAGAGCTCAAAGCCACCCGACGCATCGCCAGGCCTACCTGCAACGGGCTCGAGTATCCGATGGTGCTGGGCGCCCGAAGCAATCGGGGGTTTCGGCTTCGTTTGCTTACGGTTGAGGATTTCCGGGCTTAGGGTTCAGGGTTTACGGTGTCAGGGTTCAAGGTTTAGGGTGTCGGGCTTCGGTCGATGCTTTGAGATGCTGGGGCACTAGCACATATGTTCTACCCATGCCCTCAACCCGAAATTCCCAAGCCAGACACTGCAGTTCTTAAGCCAGACAGGTTTAATCACCCAAAGACAGCTCAAACCACTTGCGACGAAAAAGGGTTTTTAGCACAAAGTACTCCTAAACCTTTATACAGTTCTTTTTCGAAGGGAGATGCAGACCCATCTTTAGGAACCAATGTGAACCAGTGCGTATTTAAGCAGGCGAATCATTGGACAGCATGAATCACCTTAGATGCAGACAACATCCACTTCAACATGTCATGTGTGTATTTTGCTTCATATGTCCATGATGTGTGCATATGTCTCATCTCTCTCCATGTTGTCTGTCCTGTCGTGAACGTCCTGCCCCTCTTGTAAAGATGTTTGTGCGCATTTGCGCACGTTTCTATACCATCGATACATATGTCGTCGTGTAAATTCTCAACCGGAGCAGAGGTGCTCCCCAAACCTGCCAAATCCTAAACCCTATACTCCCTAAAAACCAAAACCTCAGAACCCCCAAAGCCTAACCCCTAAAACCTCGACGGCTTGGCGCAGCACGGGGCGACTGAGGTCCGACTTCCGCGCCTGAGCGTAGATGCCCAGCGTACAGCGATGAAGTTCCCCTGAAGCCCGAAATGCCTTAAATAATGAGTATATATATATATATATAGGTATATACATATAATTAATACGCACAGATCCACGCACCTTAAATTAAGGAAGGTATCTCAAACGAAGAGAATGCCTCCAGCAAGAGGCCTTCGTTATATACTCCTTAACATTGCGAGACAAGGTGCAGTCGTTCATCTGACAATGTAAGGCGTATCCCGCATTCAAGGGAACCGATCGCCAACCCAAACGAACGTGGCGGAACTCTGTTTAGGAGCCAGCACCCGAAGTCATAAACCCTCAACCATTCCTTCATGATTTGGGCTTCGGAGACAGGCGGATCGTTTCACTGCAGGCAATCGTTTTGCGTCCTCACAAGAAAAGTTCTCGACCGTTGGAGTGCTTAAATCCTAGACGACGCATGAACAGTTAAGGAAGTCGTATAGGATCACAAAAGGTTTGTAGATTGGGGTTTTCGGCTGTAGTCGCGCTGTCGCTCCGCAGGGGTAGGCATGGTAGAATCCTTCTAGCGGCGTCTGGGGCTCCTGCTTGTCTCTACATCATGTGAAGGGTTAGGGATGGACGATCCCATGTGGTACTATAAAAAGAATAAATGCTTGCCAGTGCTTTTTTGTTTAGGGCCCTTTGTATAATCATTGTATACTATAGCCCACCCCTAAATCCTGTTGATCATGAAGGCCCCCAGATCCTAGAACTCCTATAATAGCCATCAAAGATCCTTTTAGGGCTTTGGGTGTAGGCTTTCTCTCACCCCCAACCCTAAGACCAGATTCCCGGAGTCAAAAAGCCAAACCTCGCTGAGCCCTAAACCACCCAAGCACTTACAAAACCCTGGTGGAATCCGGTACAGACCCACAAACTCCCACGCTCTAGAACCCTCAACCCCCTAAAAAACCACCCTAAACCCTAAACCCCCTTCACGACACACCCTTGCAGCTCAAAAGTCTCTGCGGGAGATGGGTTGCAAGGGATGATCGACAGCCGGGCCGGCCTACCGCAGGCCCCGTCTCTCCGTCTTTGGCCTGCGACTGACACCGGGACCCCCCCACCAAACCAAGAAAGCAAGGTACAGCGTGGTGCGTTGGGCAAGCATGCAGAGTTAGGCAGAATCTAACCCGACGCCAACCCCGGGGTAGGGTTGGTAGGGAAAGGAACCGGAAAGGCGTAGTTCTCGTAGTTGTAGTTGGGTAGACATACTCGATCGCTTTGATTGCCAACCGCACTTGCAAAGTAGATCTTTGATTAGCCGCCCCCCCGTTGTAGAGGGCCGTGACGTTAGGATTCCTATCAATCCTCAAAAAGGGAGGGTAGGGGGGTGTGACTAATCAGGCGTCTACCTTAAGGTACTCCCCTCAGGCTCCTTATCCTCCAAGTTGCTCGCAAAGGAAAGTATGTGTGCAACATGCTTGTCTGCAGGCGGGCAGGCATACATGCATGCGTGCATGTATGTACATCCGACTGAATAGATCAAGCAGAACATGGGCAGATAAATTGGTAGGTGTGTGCATACACCAATAGGTGTGTACATGTGCATTGTATGTGTATACACTATACTCCCACATAGACACCTATGTGCGATTGTTGATGTACACATGCATATGTTTCCAGTATCTATCTATCAATCCATCTATCTATCTGTCTGTCTACACTCAGACAAAATACATGAGTAAGTATCGACAAGCGCGAGACAGATATAAGTACCTAGATACATGCGTCGCTGACCACCTAAGTAATAAGTACATGAGGAAGGAAAGGAAGGAAGCAAGGCCCTGAACCAAACAAATAGAGATGCAACACGTTGTAAACTTTGTATGCGCTCTGTACACACAAATGGGTAGTAAGATACATCGACAGAGAGATCGTTGCGTATGTGTGTTTTTATACATACATAGTTACATAATACATCTGTATATGTGTGTGTGTGTATATATATATATATATATACAAATAAATATGTATGTATACATACGCATGTACACATCTGTGCATCTATGTATGTATTTATCAAAACAAATATATGTACGTACACACATACAGACACGATGCCCTAGTTCCCGAATCTTATCGCCAGGCCTTGGCCGGCGACTGCCTGGGCTTGCCATGCGCCCGGCTGCGGCCAGCGGCCGCTCGGCGAACGGAGGGGGGGGGGGGTCGCAGGAAGTATGTCATTGGCAATAGCAACGTAGCAGTAGCAGCAGTAGTAGTCGCAGTGGTGGTGGTAGTAGTAGTAGTAGTAGTAGTAGGAGTAGGAGTAGGAGTAGGAGTAGGAGTAGGAGTAGGAGTAGGAGTAGGAGAAGGAGTAGGAGTAGGAGTAGGAGTAGGAGTAGGAGTAGGAGCAGCAGCAGCAGCGGCAGCAGTACTACCAGTGGTCTTAGTAGTAGCAGCAGCAACAATTTTCGCCATAGTCGTAGAAATCATGTTGATAGTAGGAATAGTCAGAGAGGCAACAGCGCTTATCACAGCATGATGGCTGTGGCACCTATACAAGAACATCACTGTGATCCGTGAGCTTTTGTAAGCAGGCGTCCTGGGTCTGCTCCTATGTAGGAGTTTGAGAAAATGGGACCGTAATGTAGATGCCAAATCGTAGTAGCCAGAGGTATGAGGATCCACAAATCAGGTACCCATAATTGAAAATCCTTTTCCAGCCTAATCGACTTTCTAATTTGTTGTGGCTGTGAGGCCATGAGATGCATCCCGCACCGAACTTCAAATCTCAAATGCCACAGCAACAAACAGCATCTAAGTCTTCTGATCCCAAAGCTGGCAACCTCCGGAAGGTTAAGAAATCCTCCACAACTTTGCCCTTCGCACGGAGCCAAGTGTACGTTTTGAGTTGGGGGTTCCTAAATCCAACTACCACTGGTGGTGGTGGGGCCGGTCTTGTCGTAGAAGCAATCAATAGCGGTAGCAGCAGCAGTAGTAGCAGTAGCAGTGTCAGTAACAGTAGAATTGGCAGTAGTAGCAGCGGTAGGAGCAGTAGGAGGAGCCCAGCATCAGTGGCAGCGGTGGCAGTTGCACTAGTAGTAGTAGTCGTTGTCTCGGTGGCGGTAGTGGTAGTAGTATAGCAGTAGTAGCGGGAGACGAAGTAGTAGTAGCAGCAGCAGTAGTAGTAGGCCACCCCACCCCTGCCAACTACACTTTCTCTAAGCCCTCACATCCGTTTTTACCTGGTATTTACGGTACTTCCGTAATGTCCAACCACTGCTTGTTGCCTCAACATCCACTTGTCAACTTCGCCAACCCGGCTTCCAGAACCCTGGTTTGACAGAGGAGGTGACGCGATAAGTAGTAGCACTAGTGGTCGGACGCGACGGCGTGCTTCTGCTGCTCGGGAGTTTCCGAAAATAGGGGACCCTAAAAAAGTACCCTAAATAGTAGGAGCCTCATTATGAGGACCCCAAGATAAGGCACCCCTAATTTTCGGAAATCCTGAACCCTAAACCCTTTATGGAACCCTTATAGATCTCCCTTAAAGGATGCCTTTCAAGGTTAACCCCTCATTTTCGGAAGCTCCCAGACTTCCTTGCTGTACTGTAGTATAGGGGTCCTGGGTTTTGGGGTCCATGATACTATAGTTATACGAAGGATTTCCCCAAAATCGCCTTGGTAAGTATTTAGGCCCCAATAGTAAACCCAAAATTTCTGAGCCCTCGACTCACTGGGACGGCTGCAGGTAGAAAGCAAGCCGGCAAGGGAGGAGGGCTTCCACCTGCTCGGGGGCCCATCCTTTGAGGTCTCCTTTAAGGGTTCCCATGACATCCTTTAAGGGTTCCCAAAACATTTTTAAAGGGCTCCTTTAAGGGATCCTATAAGGGATCCTTTAAGGGCTCCTTTAAGGGTTCCCAAAACATCCTTCAAGGGCTCCTTTAAGGGTGCCTGTAAGGGATCCTATGAGGGATCCTTTAAGGGCTCCTTAAGCCAGGAAGAGCCGGGGGTTTCAGAGCATCGCTACGGGACGGTGATGACGGTTTAGGAGTCCAGCTGGGTTTAAGGTTCGGAGTTGAGGGTTTAGGGCTCGGAAATCATGATAATGATGATTGGGATGATGTCTCTCTCATGTCTCTTAGTGACGGTAACAGCGTCACCATCCTCGGCCGCGTTGAATTCATAAACTCTCCCCAAACCAGCCTGCAAGCCTTAATCTTGAAACGTAAGACGAGAACCCAGAGGCTCCAAAAAGACCAAAGACCACGACAGCCTGAAGCCGGGTCTCCAAAAGTTGCAGCAAGATTGAGGGGCTTAAGGTTCAGGAGGAGCAGGGCTATTTATGCGTTCATCTGCTGTATACCTTGGCTCCGTAGAGGACACCCTCAACCCCAAGCCCTTTTCTGCCCCTGGCCCAGGCCCGGAGGAAATGCCGATACGGATCCGCAGCTGATTGCATTCGCCGGCACAAAGACGCTGCCAGGGTCCCGGCCGAGGAGTGGGTATACTGACATTTATCCTGACATTTATCACTGGGTAGTTCGGGGATGTCCGCTACTGAACGACTGAACGGCTTGAGGGTTCAGTGTTCAGGGTTCTGGGTTCTTGGTGCAGTTTCGGAGGTTTTAAGTGCTTCAAGGATCAGACCTAGCAAGTAGGAAAGCCGAAAGTCGGGCGGCTACGAATCGACCTCTCTCCTGCTTGCTGAATGCCCAGTGCAGTCGAACTTCAGTTTCAATCGCAAAGGTCCAGGATTCTGATCTCTCAGTAGTAGTGCGTAGAGGTCTCCTTGGGGTTCCGTATAATAAGCAAGGCTACTATACACCAATCCCCTACTACTGCTACAGGGGCCCCCTCATTATAGAACCTTTTGTGGTAACCACCGTAAAAACCCCCAGAGAGCCCAATACCCCTTAATTAAGGAAGAGGCTTAAAGTATATAGGGTCATATTATGATTTAAGCTGTATTCCTTAATCAAGGGGTATTAGGCTCTCTGGGCCCGTAAGGGAACCCCTGCAGTACCAAATCTGGCTTCTCTCTTCGGATAGTCTTACCAGCAGCCGCAAGGGCGAGTGGGCGCCTGGGGGTTTCTTAGACGTCGAGGTACCTTAGATTGGTGTCCTTGCAGGAAGGATCCTTTTTGGCTCTCTTTCTTCTTGCAGCTCGATATATTGAGGTTCCCCATTTTCTGAAAGTTCCTACGATACTAACTGCGGATGCTGGGTTTGATAGGGTTCTCCGGCAGGCCAGCCGGGGCTTTGCGACCGAAGCCTGAATCGCTCAAAATCCCTTAGCCTTAAACACTTGTCATTCTAAGCACACCCTGCTTGCTGAGCCCCCTGAGCCCTTGCCCAAACTCCCGAAGCTCAGGGGCAGAGATTGAACTCCCTTCCTGTTCCGAGGGACTGGCGCGTGGCGCGGTCGCGCTCGCAGGGCTGTCTGAGGACTGGTCCATGTTGTTGTCTGTGATCTTTGCTTTGCTAGCTGGGCTTGGCTTTACGGCGATTCAGATCTTTTGGGATGCCCAGAAGTTCTAAAAAATCCCGCTGAGCTGACCAGTGAATCGCCGAAGCCCCACTGCAACTTGTGAATGCAAGAGAAGAAGTTAAAGCCTGTCTCTCTTGATAGTCACCGGGTTGAGGGTTTAGAAGCAGCAGTGATAGTAGCGCTGAAGAGGAGGATCATGTTGATAAGCCTTAAACCCTAAACCCCGGCTCTCACGCCCCAGAACCTAAGCTCCTTCACCGAAGCTCCTGTTTCCAAAGACCTCAGAAGCCTTATTACCGAAGCCTCATACACCTACACCCTAAACCTTAGAAGCTGCCCCCACCCTGTAATAGTGACTATAAGGATTATATTAGGCCCTATTATATTCCGACTTTGCCACTATTACAGGGTGGGGCCCCTTCTAACCTAAACCCTGCATCGGAACGAGGGCGGGTGGCACCATGGATCGGGTGCGGGACCCCGGCATCGCAATGGAAGGGACTGGCGAGGGTGCCCTTCAGGGGCTTCCTTCAGGGATCCTCTACTCCCAGATCCCCGGGAGGATCGACAAAGTAGATCCCCTATTGGGGCCCTATACTGCTAAGGGTACTTTATAGGAACCCCCATTAAGGTATCTACTTTTTGGATCCTCCCGGGGGTCTGGGCTTGTACGGCTTTCTCAAGTTGAGGGGCTTTCTTGAAGGTAAGGTCTTTATAGGGTTTTGGGATGCCTTTAAGTGGAAGGGTCCAAAGAGGGGGCTGCAAGGTATTAATTATAAGGCATCCGCAAGGCTTCTTGAAAATCTAAGTTGTTGTCAGCGGTTATATATGGGTCATGTAAGGGTAGCGTAAAGGCTCAAAACCATAGGGAATTACTACAGGCTTCAGTATACGCTCAACGCCGCAACGCTCTAGGCCTCAGGCCCCAGGCTCTAAAACCTTTTAGAACCGTAGACTTCGCACCCTAATTTTTCGAGACGCCCCTGAAGGTGAGGTTGCAGGAAAGCAGCTGCAGCTTTAATTTTATAATGCATGCACTGGTCTGAACAAGCACCAACATGATTCCATAAGGTTCCTTAGTTCAACTGAACATGCCCCAAAGCCCTAATCAGAAACTTAGGACTCCTATACTACTTACTGTAACCACGGTCCTGGTCCTGGGGATCTTGGTAGGCACATACATTGAAGAGCGGGTTTAGGGTTTAGGGCCGTTTTTGTGTAGAATCCGTAACACCACTCTGATTAATCAGCACCGTGTGGTCCGAATAAACTTCCCTCTGCATGTCTTGACAATCCCTCGCCATGTAGGCCAGTAGGAAAAACGCAAACGTTGTATGGAATCTTGCGCGACCCCTCAAATGCCTCATCAAGGATGATGAAGCGGTACAGCACCTAAATCAATGCCTCAGACACTCCCCAATAAGACACCCCAAAACCCTCAACCTGCACCAGGAGGAGCATGGTGTGCTTTTTCTTGAACGCACATTGAAAGGGATGTGGATGTGTCGCACGGCACCGTTGGACAGGTTCACGGTTGACTCGCAAGTGTTTGCCTCAACCTGAACCCCTGAAGCCTTGAACGTAGGAACCTGATTAAGAAACCTTGGGCCTGTATTAGGGTTCCTTATATGAATCCGACTATTTTGGGGTTATAGGTCCTGGGTTGCTTAATCAGGTGCTAAACCTTTGAACCTGAACACCCGAAGCCCCAGGTGCTGAAGCTCCGAAAAGAGACGGAGCTGGACCGGCTGGTAGACGTGCTCGTCCGAGCGGCGCGGGGCCTTGGTGTCGCCTTGGGTTGCGACGTCCATAATATGAAAAGACGGGCAGAAAGAGCTTCCAAGCGAGAGTTTCAGCAAGGTGTCTCTATAAAGGGCTTTTTCAAGACTTGCAATGAGGGTTTGTATATTTTTTCTATCAGGACTTTGTTGAGTTTTTTCTGGCCGTTTTCTAAACGAGCACTCCATATATCACTTTACAGGTTGCTCTTTTTGGAAACCGTTCAGTTTTTCAGGGGTTGTGGACTCCCCCCAAAATCGCAGGTTAGTTGGTAGCGGAGACCACAGACGAAGCGAGCCGTCATCGTGTCCATAGATCAGGTTTTTAGGGACTCCTCACAAGAAGGGGACCCAATGATAAGTAGGACCCCCTCCGTAAACGCGACCCTACACCCCACGCATATTCCGTGGCCGATAAGACCCTAGGGCCTTTTGTGCTGATGTTTACGTGCTTGATTTGCTGGACGTGAACTTGAAGTCGAACCGAAACCCTACCAAGGGCTTGAACCCTAAACGCCGAAGCAGGAAACACGTTTGTTGTAGAAGAAGTCTTCGGATTCCCGGAACGCTCGCTGAGGGCCTTCCAGGCATTAGCGGGACGGAAGCCCTATTTCCAGTATGGGAGCTGGTAGTGCTAGTAACCTGGTAGTAGCAGTAGTAGTCGTCGTCGTAGTCGTCGTCGCATTTGTGGTTTAGTCGGTGTAGTCGCAGTGGTAGTAGTGGCAGTAGTGGTGGTGGTAGTAGTAGTAGTAGTAGTAGTAGAAGGCAGTCGGAGTAGCAGTGGCAGTAGCGGTAGCAGTATTAGTAGCAGTAGTAGAGCCAAGAGTCCCTCAAGAGAGCAGGCGCCCGACCAACGCCACGATGCGCTTCGGTACTTCAAGCAGCCCTACAACGCCCATCGCAAGCACCGGCCCCGGTTCTGCCTTAGCAGTTGGGACTCAGGCTAGGCAATAAGGCACAAAAGCACACCAAGTATACTATAACATACTATAATTACTATAACATAACATACTATAGTGTGATGTGCCAGAATGTACTAACTGTCACCGCAGTAGGGTTCGAGTGGAGTCAAGTCCGAGGTTCAGGTCAGGCTCGTGTGCTTTCTGCCGGAGTTGTGACTGCATGCGTTTTCGCCTGACCCGTGGCTCACCGCATCTTTCCACCTACTTACCTGGTGCTCGATGACGGAGCCATCGCACCGCTGGCCGGGTGCAGGGCAGTACACATGGGAGCGCCCAGCTTGCGGCGAGCTTCACCCTTGAAGGCCAACTCACTGTCATAGACAGTGAATGACAGCAAGACAATGCGCTAACGTGCTTGCTGGGGGTGGCCAGTCAATCTGCGACTGGCATGTGTGCAAGGAGGGGAGGCCTTTCCATTGGCATGTGACTCTGCGTCCCGCTTCGTCGTTTTGCAGCTGTCTGACCCATAATATAGGATCCTAAATGAATACTAATAAATGCTTTCCCTTCCCACTAGTATGATTATACTTTTAGTCATCTATCTGCGCCAAAACGGTGGTCACTAGAGAAGCCTCTTCAGACAGTTGCCATGATGTCCCGAAAACCCTGAACGCATCTAAAACCCCAAATGACCCTGAAGCCGAAGCAAAGCCCAAAAGCCGAGAGCCACAGGAAGATGGGCCCGAGATACATCGATGAGGACCATCGCCGGCGGCTAGCCAGGGGCCTCAGGTTTCAACCATAAGGGTCACTATAAGGGTTACTATAAGGGATCTATAAGGGGCCTATAAGGTTTGGGGGGTTTAACGTAGGAACCTGACTAAGAAACCTAGGGCCTTTATTAGGGTTCCTGATGTGAATCCTACTATATTGGGGATTATAGGCCCAGGGTTTCTTAATCAGGTTCCTACATTACCGCCCAATAACAACAATGACAGTAAGAACTAAAAGCGCTTAGAATCATGATAAACAGCCTCGTCTCTTTTGGTCACAACACTAGATGAGCATGATTCCTAAAACAGAGCCTGCAACCATTGAAATAATAGCTACAAGCCAGAGCAGCGTTGACAAAAGCTGGAGGAAAGCAGACCAGCCCTGAACCCTTAAGCCTCAATCTAAACCTACAAGCCCTTAAACCCCCCGATAAAGAAGATCTGTTTGATGATGCCTTGAGGTTCAAAGCTTAACAAAAGTGATTCCATGATCCCTCAACCCTAAACCCTAACCTCCTAAACCCCGAACCCTAACTCCACGCCCGAAGCCCTCAACCTTAAGTGTCCAGTGAGCCCAAGAACCACCCAGTGAGGACTGTCTGAAACTCCCACAAGCAAGGTCCCACATATGGAAAGGCTGCCCCAAGCTTCAAGCTTTTTAGGAGGCTTTGAGCTTCGTACAGGAGCCTCAATATTTAGACCATTCAGATCTTGTTTCTTAGGGTCTCAGGGTTTTCTTCTTTGCTTCCGAAACACGGTATCATGTAGCCCCAACACTTCTGGAAGTTACTGATGCCCCCAAAAAAAACCCTAGAGCCTCACCTGTCCTCGTCCCGGCGCCTTGACTTTTTTGTGTGTCCTGGCGAGGTGCTGCAGGTCCTCAGGAAGTATCCACTCTGCGACATCTACGACCTGGCGGGGGAACCCAACCACCCGGTTTCATGGTGGGCGTGGTGTTTTTCCATTCGCTTTTTGGAGTTTATAGAGACAGTCCATCGTTTTTTTGCCTCAGTATCCTATGCCTCAGACTTTTACCTTGAAGCGACATTCCAAAGCCCACACCAACCAACCGCGGAAACCTCGGAACCCTTAGCCTCCAAACCCAGGCGCTTGAACCCACGGACTTCACGAGTGATTTGGGAGTTTCCCGAAATTGGGGGTGCCTTACTTTGGGGTCCTTATAATAAGAATCCTACTATTTAGGGTGCTGTATTAGGGTCCCCCATTTTCGGATTATCCCATTTTGTTTGAGGAAAATACCTTCAATCACCCAAGCTTCGGATCCTCCTAAAGTTGAAGGTCTGTTCCATGATTGAAGGGTTTTGAGCTCTTTGGAAATCCCGAACCCCAAGCCCCAAACCCCAAACCCAACCCTAAACCCCGAACCCTAAACCCCCTATAAGCCCTAAACCCAAACCCCAAACCCTGCATCCCGAACCCAATTTCTCGGGCACTGCAAGGATCAGGCGGCCAAGAGTAGGTAGGTTTAGGGTTAGGGAGACCCAACATCCCTTAACTAAGGAACAGTGTATGTCTCGGTCTTTATGTGTCTGTCTGTCTGTCCGTCTTGTTTGTTTGTTTGTTTGTTTGTTTGTTTATCATGTATATCACACTCTAAGAGGGCTCCTCACATCTGGAATTGTGCACAAGGGTGAAGGCTTGTGGGTTCCCGGGGTTTAGGGCTCAGGGTTTATTGAGGTTCAGGCTAAGCTTCGATTCCTTCTGCCGATCGGCATCGCAGGTGCGGGTGGATGAGCGGCAGTGGGCCAACATGAGTCCGGCCCTCATCGTAGCGCGAAGTGTGGGGCTACGGGTACTTGTATGATCTTCGTCCACAATGGCCGAGGGTTGAGGTTTTCTCAAGGCCCCTAAAACCCTAAACCCTAAACCCTGGGTCTTCCAGGTTTATTTTATTTTTTGTGACCCCTTCATGTCCTGCCTGGAGGAAGCTATCCTTGAATCTTCATTGACGAAGGGTGCTTGGAGTTCTGGGACCCCAATACGTATAAAGTCACTGTGCCATCTCCGTGTTGCGAAAATGGTATTGAGGACGGCCTATGGTTTCGGATTTCAGCTTTCGGGTTTCTTGGTTTCGGGGTTGGCGTTTCTCAGCAGTAGCCGTTTCCTGCGAAAACCACGGAAAACCATCCAAACCCATCAGAACTCCACCAAAGGAATCCTTACAGCAGAGCCAAAGAGACCGCTAAACCCGAGACTTGGCTGTTCTTGAACCTGTTTTTTTCAAAACCCCACATCGAAGGATCCCTTGACAGAGTCCTTACAGCCACCCCTAAACTCTAAACCCTAAACCCGAAACCCTGAATCTCGTAATCCCTACCTTGGAGGTCCATGGGTAGTTGGAAAAGGAAGTTGGGTAGTTGTCAAGATTACGGTCCCTTTTTGGGTACCATAAATAATAGGTGCCGTATTATAATAGGGACCCAAAAAGGGCCCATCATTTTGACAACCACCCAGTTATAAGTCCCCTGTGACATACGTTCCCAGAGGATCGATGGTCCAGTCCTTGCTATGATCGGACCCTTCGGATTCCTTTTTATGGGTTATAGCTACAGATGCCCTAAACTTCTATAAACCCCAATAATAGTTAAGTACCTATGAACCTCCGAGTCGACCCAAAACTACGAACCCTAGAAGCCCTATAAAAGACCTATAATCCCTATAAAAGCCTTATAACTTATAAGCCCCATATAAGCCCCATAAACCCTATAAGCATTTTTGGCCCTATAAAAGACCTATAAACCCTATAAAAGACCTATAAACCCTATAAAAGCCCCATAAGCCCCAACCTCCAAGCTCCTACTCCCTGGCAGCCCGACGTCCCCCCCCGCCGAAGCTCCCCTTCGCAGCACAGGCCGGGAGCTGGGTGGCCTCAGCTACGGGGTCGCCGGGCCCTCAGCGGCGAGCCGTGCGGCTTTGGGGGGGGCGCAGGGGTTTAGGGGGTTTTTGGGTGTGTAATGTGGGAACCTGATTAAGAAACCCGGGGCCGTAGTATGGTATACCCCAAGCCCTATTCAGGTTATGTAAGGCCACCCGACACATACGTGTAGAACCCGGTCACCTCCCGTCCCCAGGAACTCGTACAAAAGCCGCATCACAACAGCTGAAACCCTAAACCCTAAACTCTAAACCCTAAACCCTAAACCTTAAACTCTAAACCCTGAACCCTAAACCCTAAACTTTAAACTCTAAACCCTAAACCCTAAACTCTAAACCCTAAACCCTGAAACCTAAACCCTAAACCGTCTAGGAAGTCTTTCATGCCAGCCTAGGGCTCGACGGCCTCTCATGAAGGTTTCGGCCCGAACTCATTCGGGTGGTTGTGAAAATTATGGTCCCTTTTTGGGTCCCGACGGTTGATGATATAAATCCTGCATTACCCATAATAAGGAATATACCATAATGCCCATAGTCTAGGGTCCTTAAGGTAATGCAGGATTTATATCATCAACCGTATTATACTCCGGCACCTATTGTTGAGGGTGCCGGAAAAGGGACCCTAATTTTGACAGCCACCCATTCCTTATTCAGGCCTCCCAACAGGGCCCCGTACCCGAGGCCACCACCCCTCCCTGAACCTCCAAACTCCTAGACCCTACAAATCCCCAGTTTACGAGCTTGAAGCTTCAAACCCGCCAACCCGACAGCCAAAGAGTAGGAAACATAAACCCGAGCCAAAATCCCTCAACTCTCAACCCTCAACCTCACGTCCGCAACAAAGCCTAAACCCTAAGCCCTAAACCATCAACCGCCAAAAGGCTATGAAGGCGGCCATGGAGGTGGTGGCGGAGGCGGGCTTTTGCCTCGAAGAACCAGCGCCAATACGAGCGCCGATTTAAACTCTGCGCCGCAGTCCATGACGCCCCTGGAGCGAGCCACCTTCTGGGTCGCAGCCTCGGAAGCGGGCTTAAGGATTTTGGGTTTGGCGTTTAGGGTTCACGGGTTAAAGCGGTTTAGGTTTTACGGGAGGGGGGGGGGGGTTTCTGGCTCCAGGGTTCAGGATTCAAGGTTTTTCGGCTTGTGCAGGAACCCTACACCCTCGTTTATCAGGGGAGTTAAGATGTTTAAGTACAATTACAAGGACCTTAAACGGGTTTATCCCACTTCTACCCTTATTTACCACCTACTTCTCACATCCCTGATCCTGTACGTGCGGGGAAAGTGGCCTGTCCGTCCCAGGGAGCGCTCGGGACCCGAATGCGGAACGCCGACCACGGGCGTGTGGTGGTCTTCGCCGCGCAAGATAGGCGCGAGATGGCGCGAGCTTTTCGGTTTAGAATAGAGTTCACGTGTTTGGGTGAAGGGCTTAGCCAACTGCAAGATTTTCCAAAACTCCCTGAAGCCCCTCTCGTAGGAAGCTTCTAAATCTTCAGCCATAATAGCGGGGTCTGAATAACAGCTCTTACCCTAAACGAAGCAGAAAGTCATAGATCAACTTCTAAAGGAACCTACATTTTTGGGATTCCCTAATATGGTTTCCTTATATAAGTCCTCAAAAAGGTAGGTTACTTGGGGTTAAGTCATACAAATCCTGAAGCATGCACAAAATCATCGTTCCGCAGGTCCCCAAGCCTAGTTCCAACCATGCAGGCCCCAAGTGGCACTCCCAACTTCACCCGGCGAAGCTTCTTAAAGCATTTCCCCCTAAATCCCTAAACTCCTAAACCCGAAGCCCTGAAATCTTTCACAATTAGTCCCTAAACCCTCAGCTTGAAACATGTCCCGGCCAGTCTCCCTTCGGCTTGAGCCGTGGCTCACGAGAAGGCGGGGAGCGGCAATTCCGGACATTGTTTGCTGGGCTCCTTGGGTCCAGCATTTGAGCCTTGCTCTACCCGGCCTTGCAAGTGTTGTTGTAAGAGTTTGTGTTTGGTTTTACAGCATTTTGCGCGATTTCGCAAGGGTTCGTGCAGGTGTTAAGTTAAGGGTTGAGTGTAACACACTGTGGTTCAGGGCTTTAACCCTAGACCCCAGACCCTAATTAAACCCTAGACCCTAACTTTAGGGTCTGGGAGCGTGGCGTGGGTGATTCAGTATGTCGGAGTCTACGATTCGGGGTTTGGGGGTCGAGGACTCGGGGTTTGGATCATCGGGTTTGGGGTTTAGGGGTTTAGGGGTTTAGGGTTTAGGGTTTAGGGTTTAGGGTTTAGAGTTTAAGGTTTAGGGTTTAGGGGTTTAGGGAGGTCTGGGATTTATGATTTTGGGTTTTGGGTTGGGGTGTGGAAGTCTGTGCATTGGGCTTTGGATGCAGGGTCTTCGATTAGAGGTCACGAACCTGCTGTGCCAGTGATCTGAAAGTTTCAACGATTGCCCCTCACCCCTAAATACCCTAAACCCTAAATACCCTAAACCCTAAACCCTAAATACCCTAAACCCTAAACCCTAAATACCCTAAACACCCTAAACCCTAAATACCCTAAACCCTAAATACCCTAAACCCTAAATACCCTAAACCCTAAATACCCTAAACCCTAAACCCTAAATACCCTAAATACCTTAAATACTCTAAACCCTGAACCAAGCCTCGCACTGCGGAGGACCTGCTCGTGGCCCTAAAGGGGCCGCCCGCCACTTCCGCGTGGGGGGGGGTGATCGGATTAGGTTCTCGTGTTTCACCTGCGCCACGCAGCAAGCCTCGGAGGAGCCCAGAGCTCTGTGAAGGCGTAGTGATGGCCCAAACAGCGGGTTTAGGGTTTAGGGTTTAGGGTTTAGGGATGACTCCTACTTTCAAGACCTTCTTGCGGGAGAAGGGGAAGGGGTTCTAGGCGGTTCGTCGTCTGATGCTTAGACGATTGGGTTTGCTGTGCGCACAGAGTCCACATCGCGGGGCAGCTTGAAACAAGAGGCCCCGGTAGGACCACCCGCTTAGAAGCATACTAGACCTACAGGGGAGACCCCAAAGCTTCAAAGGGTTTAGGGCAGAGGGCCTTTAGATATCCCTGAGCTCCCAACCCTCAACCCATGACTGTGCACCGTCTGAGACAGTGATGCAGCGACAATTCGATCCGTCGGGGATTCCGGGTCGAGTCGCGTAGAGCTGATTGAAGATTATCGGTCCCTTTTTGGCACGGGCACCGCCACCACTGCTACCACTACTACCACCACTACCTCTACGAGGACTGCCGCCACTGCTGCTACACTGCGGCACAGACATGTGTACATGTTGGAACTGGCATGTGGTAGTACTGCTGCTGCTGCCACTACTCCTCCTCCTCGGCCAAGCTGCAACTGCGAAGGCAGTAAGGGTGTGAATTCTCCGGTGGTTCGTTACGGGAACTTGGTCGTCCCAGTGTGATGTTGTAGTCGCCGCTTCCTGAGGCTGTCTTCACTTGCGGTCGGCTTGTGATCGTCGTCGTCGTCGTCGTTGTGGGGCCTTGGGACCAGCAGCAGTCCACGCCCACGGCTCTGCCAGCTTGTGCCAGGACTCACCTGGCTTGATCATGACATGCCAAGCTTTTCCGACATTTCGGGGCTGGAATCAGAAGATGCCTGCCAACCTGCAGCCCTGAAGCTCACAGTGGTTCTTACGGGCTTAACGTGCTAGATATCAGGCTCTACTAGACTACAGCAAGTTCCTACTTTAGCAGTCCCAGAGCTCTGGGCGAAACCTGTCGGGGCCTTTTGAAGCCGCCCCTCTCGCTTGCCATGGCAGCCCTCGTTGGACGCTGCACTTCCAGGACTCCGTCGACCCGGTTCAGGCTTTAGGGTTTGGGGTTTAGGGTTTCGGGTTCAGGGTTCAGGGTTTAGGGTTTAGGGTTTAGGGTTCAGGGTTTAGGGTTTAGGGTTCAGGGAAACAGAGTTTCGGGCTAGAAGCCCTGAGCCCTAAGCCCAAGCTCCTAAAACCTTGAATCCTGAACTATGAAGCCTTGAACCCTAAACCCTGAACCCTCAACCCGGACCCTGATTTGCCACGGCGCTCCACACTCCGAGGCGTAGGAACTCCGAGCCTGAAGTGCTGTGCTGCTGGACCCATTGCATGACCAGCAGCGCTCTGGTTATGCTACCCTCCTCCGCCTCCTCCTCCTCCTGCTACTACTACTACTACTGCTACTACTACTACTGCTACTACTACTACTACTACTACTACTGCTACTACTCTACTCCTACTCCTACTCCTACCACTCCTCGTTCTCCTCCTTGCTGCTGCTGCTAAGGCTTGATACGGAGTGGCACTGTCGTTACTGCGCCTGTGAGGACGCTTGCGCCGTTGAGTCGACTGTCCTGGCAGTGCCTCGTCTCGGGATTCGTGGGTTGCAGGTTTCGTTTTTTGGTTTACAGCCCTAAACCCTAAACCCTAAAGCCTAAACCCTAAACCCTAAAGCCTAAACCCCAAACCCTAAACCCTTTCCTTGTTTGGATGCACACCTCGAGGAGGTAGGTGCTGGACCTGCAGCTGCGGAGAAAGGGCCACTGCATCTTAAAAAAAAAAACCCTAAGTAGGGTTCTAACGAATTCTACAGGATCCTGTAGGGTTCCCTTGGAGTTTGGCAAGAAGGAAGGTCCGGCCCTCGTTGAGGGTTCTCTCCAAGTTTTACAGCCCGCGTCCCTTCCCTAACCCCCAAACCCCTCAACCCCTCAACCCTAAACCCCTAAACCCGTAGACCCCTCAACCCTAAACCCATGAACCCCCAAAGGCCCCAAACCATAGGAGCCCTAAATCCTCAAGCCGTTTTCGAATTATTCAGGCCCGTTTGGCGGCAGATTGCCGTCACCGCCGAGCCGACGCCAAACCCGGACTCGGCGGGGGGGGGGGGGGGGGTCCTTTTAGAGGAGTCGGATTCAGGGTTTCAGGCTTGAAGAGTCTTGGGCTTTGGGTTCAGGGTTTAGGATGCAGGGCTTGGGGTTCAGGGTTTAGTTCAGGGTTTAGGGTTCAGGGTTTCGGGTTCAGGGTTTAGGGTTCAGGGTTTAGGGTTCTTCGGAACATTGCTGTCTGTCTGTATGTATGTACGCACATACACGCATCTTGTATTGACAGCACATTCCCCAAACATTGTGGTCAAACTAGGGGGTTTCGTTCAGGGTAAAATGACTCAGATCGCCGCGAGACATGCCCGGCACGTCCGGCTGTTCCGCGGCTGCCACTGTGCCGCGGTGCACATTTGGGCAGACGCGCTCCTTTCACAGTCGTGCTTGGGCCTGGCCTTGCTTCCTGGGGCAGCGAATTGATTGCAAGTTCCAGTCTGAAGTGGACGAACCGCGCTCCCGCCACGGCTTCGAGTGCATTTTGCAAAGTTCTTTCACTCTGTTCAGGCTGTACACTTTCATAAATGTGTGCGCCTTCCTGATGACAGGCACAAACCCTGTCGACCCCTAAGTCCTAAGTGCTGGAACCCACCCAAACCCCCAAAAAGCTTTCAACACCCGAACACCCCAAACCCAAAAGCCCAAAACTCTGAAACCCAAATCGCCCCTCTTAGGCAAGTCCCGGACATGTTTCCGTGTCTGGTTTTTGGTCGCGGGTAGAAGGACTCCTGAATTGAAGGGCTACTTTTCATACTAGTAATATTTTTATTACTCTCATTGTGCTGGTTGTTTTTCTCGTTAATCTTAGTATCACCACCATCACGTGTATATCAGTATTGTTGTTATTTTCGTGTTCCCATATCCAGATTTCGGGTGGCTGGGTTAGGGTTTCGGCCAAGTTTGGGGCCCTTGATGTTTGAAGCTCCCATTTAGTCCTATAGTATGTAGTAAGATGGCGGTGGGCCTCGCAGATCATGTTCTACCCGAGCGATCGGGACGTCCTGGGCGACGGCACGCAGACCATGCGATTCATCAACAAGTGGACCGTCTAAACTAGACCCTAAACCCTGAACCTGCAACCCTAGGTCCTAAATAATGCATTAAGAAACAGGCAGCTTCTTCATGCGGGGAGGTACGAGACGAATGACTCTCCGTTGGCAGCAGCCATTTTCAAGGCGGCGGTGAGGTTTGGTATGGGGTCTTGTCGGGGCTTATACGGATGACATACCAGAATTTTCGTAATATCAGGGTTCAGGAATGGCTCTTCATGGGGTTTAGGGGCTATTTAGAGGATCAGGGGACTTAGTAAGTAGGCTATAAGACGGGATATCAGTTGGACAGCGTCAATTCGGGTATTTATGAGTTTACTTGGAACCTACTTACTAAGCCGCTGAGCCGGGCGGAGGAGTTGGAACAAATAGCGGTCGTATCCTCCGCCAATCGTCCCCCTATCGTGCCAATAGAGTTAATATGGGGGCCTTAATAATTGTCTATACTATTTTGGGGGGTTCCTTATTCTTGTTGTAGTATAATACACCCTATTTCTAATTATTAAGGCCCCGAAACAACACAATGACCCCCAGATCCTCGTTTAATCATGGAGGCCTAGGGCGCAGGCCCTACATAGCCTGTGTAAAAAAACCCTTAAGATTTTAGCTTACCGTCCTCAGCTAACCCCAAAGCCGCAGGAGTTCAGGGATCGGAGTTGAGGGTTCAGGGCGCTACGGGCGCCCGATTAATCATTGGAAAAGGGTTTTGGGACACATAATGCTGCAAGTATATGCGGGCTACGAGGCGACCTCTGTATTATCAGGGCTTGGTCTTTGTGGCCAAAATTCCAGACTCTGCAGCCGCACCATGGGAAGAAGGGCGTTGAAAATAAATGGCCTGATCTACAAATCTAAAGAATTGGGGCTTTGGTGGCTTCCTCAAAGTTAGGAGTTCAAGTATCCTACTGCCGAATCAAGCCCCTTCTTGCTTGAAGGAGATCCTGATCTGGATCCTTGTTAAGGGAGAGGGATTCATCAGTCAAGGGTCTACACTGACTCCACCTGAAACATGCTCGCGTCTGAAGCATTCTTGTTAAGGGGCCGACTGTCCCAACAGAAATGCCAAGAACTGCCTTGAATGGCAATATTACAGAAAGAACGAGTATCAACCAGATAGGAGATGTTACACGCACTGACAGAGTAGTATTTAGTGCAGCAGTGTCAATCAACGTCGCATGGCCAACAAGATAAACACACGTAGAGGGAGTATAGGCAACCGTGGGAGAGAAGCCTCTCTCAAGGAGGGTTTGTGCTATATACAATCCAGGTATGTCCAGGTAAAGGTTGTGGGGTAGGGCTCTTGTTCAGTCGCAGAACCTCAACATCTAGACAGGTGAAGGGCGTCAGCGAAGTGATGCTGGCGGCGAAGCATGTCACGGCGACATGGCCCCAAAAATCCAATTCTAGATGAGTCTGTAAGGCTGCACACCCACATCCTGAATCTCTCGAGCTTTCACCAATCACCCGGGTCCCCAAAAGGCCCAACACCCCCGAAACCGAAACCCTCAAACGCCTAAGAGTCCCCGACTGTAAGGCCCCAAGGGGTTCCTTTTTTTCTGAGATCTCGAAGGCCCGTGGGGCATGCAGTGAACCGGTTGCTAGGACCCATGTTGGAATTCAACCACTCCCAGCCAAGTTTATCTGCTAAGCCTAATCTCTATGGAGGCGCAGATTGGAAGGACGCCACTGCCAAACGATTTAAAGGTTCTCGAACGCCCACTCAGTATGCAGTATCATGTACATTTATACGCTAAGTCCCATGATAAACCTTAAACCCCAATATACCCCTAAACCCTAATGAACCCTAAACCCTAATAAACCCTAAACCCTAATAGACCCTAAACCCTAAAAGGTACCGGGGTGTCTAGGGGGCCCCGTAGCCTAGGTGACGAAGGCGCCGTCGTCGGACTGGTGCCTCCGGCTGAATTGGCTCTTGACGCCCGGTTTGGGGTTTTGGGTTCATGGGCTTAGGGTTTAAAGGGGGTTTAGGTGTTTGGGGTTTAGGGTGTATAGGGCCTGTAGGGGTTTAGAGTTTTACGGTTTTTTTTCACAACGCCCGTGGCCCAGAACCCCTGAGCCCAAACCCTAAGCATTGATGCAGCCACCAAGCCGTAATTAGCCGGTACATCACCCCGAAGCCTCTAGATTGCGGCTAAACCATCTAAAGGCCTCAAGAGCCCTCTCAAGGCCCGAACGGGGTGCTGAAAGGAGCCTCATGCAGCCGAACTTGGAGCTGGTCATCAGCCAGTTCTACGCCGCCGGCCTCGAGGCGGTGGAGGGGAATCTTTCAACCAGCCCTTCCTCTGGTTCAGGGTTTAGAGTTTTTCATGAAAGTCTACTGCTCATGAAGGAGTTTAGGGTTCAGTAATTTTTGCGTGCTCTTGTTTAGCGTCTTGTTGTTGTGTGGTGCGGTGCGGGGGGGGGGGGGGGGGGGGGGGGGCTTGGAATTTTAGGGGGGCTTGCGGCTTTCGTCTGTACAGTGTACAGTAGGGGGCTTTTCCGGATCCCCCACGCTCCGAGCCTGAGCCCGAAGCCGTAGACGCCGAGCCCCGAACCTGAAATTCCGAGCCCTCAACCCCCAAACCCAAACCCCAGCAACGCCACGTATGACAGACCGGGACGAAAGCCAGAAGCCAGAAAGCACAACAAAAGACCCAAGGCCTTAACGCCAAGGCCACGCCTAAAGCCTAAATCCCTCGCGGCTGGGAAGTTGGAGCTTCCTGGTCCTCAAGCCGCTCTCCACTTACCTAGAAGCGGTATGAGTGCCAAGATCGGGTTATTGTGAGCTTGCGAAGAATCCTAAACCTAAACTTAAACCGAACACACTAAGCCCTAAGCGCAAGAACCGTAAACCCCGGAGCCTACTTCTAGTCTTTTGATCTTCAGAAGTAGGTTCAAAACTCCCTACGCTTTCACGTAGCCCTCACACGCATCCATGCGGCTCGACGGAATCACGCAGAACCACATCCATGATGAACGATTGAGGCCACTATGCTCGACCCTGAGCCCCGAGCCCCCAAGCCCTAAACCCGAAAGATCTAAGCCGAAGTCCTAAGTCGTGGGCTCAACCCTGCAGCCTAATTGAACAACTGGGCCCTTCAGAAAACCCCAAATTCCCAACACATCGTAGACGCCCCACACCTTGAACCGACAAAACGGAAACCATGGACCTAAGCCTCGGTGTGGGTTTAGGACCCTGAACCGTACGCCTCTACATACCAAGCCCCTTAGGGGTACTTAGAAATAGTTTTTAATTTTTGGTTAGTATAATCCCTAAGAAACAGCTAAAATTACAATTTTTGCTAGGGTTCTAAGTTCAGTATAGGCCCAACAAGAGCCCTTGGCAGCGTTAGCGTTGTAGCTGCTTGCCTACGCCTTGGCGGGCAGCCTCCACAGAGCTTTGGGCTCGACAGATGCGAGCTCCCCAGAGTGAAGGAGAGCAAATGGGTTAAGGGTTCCGGGCGAGGGCGAGGGGGTTTTAGGGGCTTCTTATCGTGTTTGACTGGCTTTGAAGGCTCGTTTGTTGGGGTTCTTGCAGGCGTTCTGCTTCATGTCACCTTGTAGGAGGGTATTGAGGGCTTGAAAGATTACCAACCTTACTTTTTGGGGATCCTGAATGTAGTTATACTACAGCATACCCTAAACCCCTACTGTAAAATGCAATGCCGCTATATGAAGAGGGAGGGCTTCGTTTGGAGTTTCGGGCTGACGGTTGTGCATGCATAATGAAAAGAGAACAGTATGGTAAATGAGATGAGAGAGTTTATAATGCAACCTACCTCTGTATAATGAGGGCTTCAGGGTTTTTCTGGGCTTCGGGGTGTTGGACGAGGGCAGTGAGGATCATTAGCGTCATCAGCGCTTCACGTGGCCTGTAGAGCCCCACTTCAAACCATACTGTAGGGTCTTCAAGTCTTCAATAATTACCAGTACCAGTTTTGGGATTCCTTTTGTTGGTTTTGGGCCGTTGCTGTAAGTCTGAGCTTAAGGCTTGTAAGTCTAACTTTGAGGAATGGAGGCTTACGGTAGCCCTTTCCTTGTCGACTTCGTTTCGTCTCCGGGACCTCAGGGCAGCTGCAATGCCACCGAAACAAAGTCACCGAGAATGCCTGACGTTAGACCCCAAACAGACAGCGCAGGGCGAGAGGGGAGGGGGAAAAGAAGCAAGCTCCGAAACCTCGAGAGACGAGACAGCAAAAGAACCAAGCTCTCGATCACAAGAACGGGCAAGAAACCCTAAGTCCCATGCCAGGAAGCCAGGGCAGCGCCATGTAACCTTCATAGGCAAACCGTAAACCCTAAGCCACATAGCCCGTATCGTAACGGTTCAAAACTTATGAGGCCGCGCTACGCTCCAAATCCCTACGACGCCGGCTCCGCTCCTTTACCGGAGTGGAACGCCGAGGTACATCGGAAACCCTGAACCGCCTGAACCGAGGGTTTGGGGTTGAGGGTTGATTTATTTGGAGCTACTTAGCGGATTGAGGGTCTTGGGTTTTGCGGATTCAGCTTTGGAGGGAGGCCTGCCGGAGTTTCTGGAATGGACGCGATTTGGGAGCTGGGATGTAGGGCTTGAGCAAACCCTATAAAAACCTCTGAGGCCTATACATCATTCTGGCTACAATCTTATCTCAACCATGCCTCTCTGCTATCCCATTCCTCGAACTCTCGACTACCCTCTTGCAACTTGCGACCGGTAAAATATCTTGAGCATGGCACTGCTTGAAAACGTACTCCAGGGGTCAACGGGGTCAACACGGTGCGCGTATGCCCTAAATCCCCAACCTTGCGTAAAGATTCCTTCAAACCGCTTCGGGGTTGCGATTTCCACGCTTTTTCGGTTGCCTGGCACGAACCCAGGAACCCCCCTTTAACCCCAAACCCCAAACCTCCTGGCAGGAATGGTCAAGGGTCCAGGTGCAGATCGCCTCTGTAAAAGCTGTCAACATCGAAGAAGCTCCATGACAAAGCACTCGTAAACCTTGGCCCTAAACCCCAAACCCCGATAAACCCTAAAACCCTAAATCCTAGAACCCGAAGCCCAAACCTTAAACCCCGAAACCCCTAAACTCTATCCCCTTAGCCTTGTAGCTGGGTTTTGCTTGTTTCAGGAGGCCTGGCAGCGGGCCAGCGCCCTGCTGCCGGAGGCCGGGCGCTGGGGTTAGGGTGTGTGTGGGTGTAGGCTTTCATGGGAAGCCTGGGGGGTTTTATGGGAAGCTTGGGGGGTTTATTGGTTCACGGGCTCTGGGCTTAATGTTGGAAGTCTGCCAAAGCCTGCAACCCTCAAGCCCGAAGCTCAACCGAAGCCGAGAGTTCGCCACCCATTCATTGTGCTCTCTCTCCCTCTCTCTCCCTCTCTGTCGCTCTGTCTCCCTCCCTCTCTCTCCCTCGCTCTCTCTCTCTCTCTCTCCCCTCTCTCTCTTTTCGCACCCTTGTAAAGTTGACAAGTATCAAACCCTCTACAGCCCCTATGAAATCCTCATAAGCTCGCCCGGAGCCGTTGTCACCGAAAAGTTGGCAACCCTAGAGTCCCTGGCAGTTTCATGATGTCATTATGACATGCAATCGGGAAATGGGAAAGTACATCTCTAACGCTAGACAATCTTGTGATGATGCGAAGTCGCATCATGCAGTCCCATAAACATCCTGCAGTGATCTTACATAATCCTTTTCTGGTTGTTCGGCTAGGGTTGAGGGCTCAGGGTGTACGGTATGATGTATGGCCAAAACTTTGTAACTAAACCCTACCCTACACCGTGTTGTGGCGAAAGGGAGAACGGCCCCTTGACCCTAAACCCTAAAGTCTAAACCCCTAAACCCTAACCCTTAAACCCTAAACCATAAACCCTAAACCCCTAAGCCCTAAACCCTATACCCTAAACCCTAAACCCTAAACCCCTAAAGCCCAACCCCTAAACAAATCCTAAACCCTAAACCCTTAAATCCGAATCCCTACATCCTAAACCCTAAACACGGCAGCTCACTGGTGCGGCCCAGCGCGGGGCCATTCCCACCAGCCGGGGCTCCAACGCCGGATTTGAGGCGCTCCTTTTGGTTTTTGAGCGCCTGGAGTTCGGTCTTTAGGGCTTTTAAGATTCTAAGAGTTTTGGGTGGAAGGTTGCGTTGTTTTTTGGGTTCGTTTTTGGTTTTGAGTGCTTTGGTATTTGAAGCTTGGGGCGTGGCTGGATTCTGTGTATCCGCGCGTGTGAAAAGGGGAACCCTAAAACCTGCTGAACCCCAACCCCTGAACCCTGAATGCAAACTCCTAGACTCTACACCTCTTGAAACCCAAGGCCTAAACCTGAAACTAAACCTGTATAACTTCCTGAAGCTCTCCAGCCCTGAAAAACCGAAAGCCCTGAAGCCTAAATCCCCTAAACGCCCGCAAGTCTCAAAGTCTCCAGTCGTCAGAAGGCTTCACAGGTGGGATGAAGGTGGTGCGGTGATCCTGAGTCAAGAGCCCTTCATAAACCCTAAATCCTAACCATTCCTAACCCTTTACACAAAGCTTTTTTCTTCGCACCTGTTGAAGCCCCTGTTTCCGGGAAAAGGTCTACACCGGTCTCGGCGGCCTTGCGTCGTGACCCTATGCTCGGTTTGGGATCCAGATAAGGGCTGCAAACGGCTGGTAGTTCTGTTGTTGGGTTTGGGGGTGTAGGGTTTCGAGTTTAGGGTGTAGGGCCTTTAGAGGTTTGGGGTTAGGTTATGCCGAGGTATGAGCTTTGTCGTCCGGGCTCTGTTTTGGGCTTCCAAGATCTCCGCTGGACCTTGAGGTTCGTTTTTTGCGTCCTGGGTCCAGTCCTGATAACCTAAACCCAAAACTCCGTAAACCCTGAACCCAGGGTTTAGGGCCAAACTCTCCAGGCCAAGTGTTGCAAACCGAACCCGAAACCTAAAGCTTACTTGAAGCCTCAGGGGCGTACGTGGTCGGTTATGATGATAGGTCGAGCTATTAAACTCCTTGTGCTTGAATGCAGCCCTAAACCCTAACACCTTCACCCCGAAACCCAACCCGAAGCCCTGAACCGTACCACGAAACCCAAAGCCAAAACTTCGGTTCACCAAATCCTGAACCCTGAACTTCCAACCTGCCCCGATCCTCCCTGATTAGAGCACAGAGTAGTCCCAGGCTCGCGTTCTACCGGGCTTCCTGCCACTGCAGAGAGAGCCCGGTCTGATGGGAGATGAGGGTATGGAGTTATGGGGTTTGGGCGTTAGGTATTGGGGCGCAGAGCTTAGGGCTGAGAGTTTAATTCAAATGAATGTTTAGGGTGTAGCTCAATAGGACGACTTCTGACGTCTATACTTCGCCCTGTTCTCTAAATAGGATGCTGGAACCGCAGCTGCTGGATGTGTGGAGTTGGGGGGTTGTGAGTTATGTGGCTTTCGCAAGATTTCATACAGGTACTTGCAGGTTTAAAGCGCAGGAGGTCTAGGATTGGGTTTCTCAGTCGAACACGGGGACTGCGGTAGCAGCAAAGTAGCTGTACCCATCATGGTATTTAGGCTCATTGGAGGTTCCTTGGGTACGCCCGCATAGGACCTGTGTTTTTTGCATGGAGGGGGGGAGAGGAGAGCCGGGTTCTGAAAGGTTCGACTAAGAGCCCAAGAAGCCGTTCGTGCATGAACAAGTATGCCCACTGAGTACATCTTCCCCTTCTTGAAGCATATTTTGGGTACGGCCCCCACTCAGTAACAGTTGGATAATATTCATAATATAGATATATAAGGCCCTTCATAGTAGCACTATTATAGACTGTTGCTGTATGGGGGCCGAACCCAAAGCATATTCATGAACGAAGGGCATTGGGCTTTGCGGTAACAGGCGAAAAGCTTCAACAGAGTTTGCCGGAAGCACAAAACCCACAATCGTAAACCGCAAGTCAAGCCTAATCCTAAAGCCTGAACCCTGACCCATGAATCCTAAACCCCTCCGTACATGTAGCAAAAAGGCTTCTAGCGTACAGAATCTTGAGGTGCCCCAGAAGTTAAACTTGAGACGGAGATGTCCGAAACCCCGAGACGTAAGCTCGTGCTTGAAACCCAAACCTTCAAAAACTACCCTCAGCCGTCAAGCTCTCACTCAACAGCCTCAACCGCTTCTGGGCTTTTGTGGGCTCCCTTCGGACCTGGACCCTAAACCCCAACTCTCTAAACCTGCAGCTACAAAAATATTCCTACTGTGGGTAGGTGGGCGCTGTCGAGCGCCTTGGCAGGCTCTGCAGGGCTGCAGAGGCTGCCGACCACAACCTTGAGTGGTCGCGCCAAGCGGTAGTCGCCTAGCTCAGTCTACTAAAAATAATCCGAGAGGCTCTCGGAAGGCCGCTCCCCCTTCTGAGGGTTCGGGGCCACGGTTGGGGGGGCCCGGCACGATTTGAGGCGGCCTCCAACCCCACAGCCTCCGACTCCCGGAAACCCGTGCTCAGGGGCGCTCGGACCCCTGTCTTCAGACGGGGATGTCGCTCTACAGATCGAAATATCAATGACAGGGCCGTTTGGCCCAGAACTTACCCCCGCGAAAACCCTAAATGTTGCTTGGGCGCGGTTTGGGGCAGCCCAATCCGTCATAACTTGAGGCGACTCCGGGGGACTTTCAATTTGCTACTTGACACATCCATATCTGCGACATCCGCTTTCTTTGATGGTAGTGGCGTGGATTTTAGCTGGCTTCGGTTTGGCTCGCTATGAGTCGTGAGTAGTGTTTGGGTGGCCTTGGTGTGGGCATGTCTGCACACTACGTCCAGCTGACCGATGCTCCCCGAAACCTTAAACCACTCTCCCAAAAGAGAGCCCCTAAAATACAAAACGCTTCGGCCGAGGAGTCGGGGCGATGCCGCCTCGGCAGAGGACTTCGCGCGGAAGGCGCCGAGAGCTCGGCGGTCTTCAGTTACGGCAACGGGCTTCTGTTTAGGGTGTGGAGTTTCTGTGAAGATGAAGGGTTCTACTAAGAGTTTCTGTAAAGATTATTTGCACCCCAAATAACCTGTTTTTTGAGGCTTCTGATGGGGATTGCCATACATAAGTCCTGAAGCAAGTAGGTTTTCCAGGGTCCGGGAAAAGGTTCAACAAGAGTTACTGTAAGGGTTCCTTTACCGGCTTCCTGTAAGCGGTTCGTTCAACCGGTTCCCTTCAAGGCTTCTTTGAAAGGGTTGTTGTAAGGATTTTTATAAGATTTTCTGAACAGGCTCAGGTTGTATGAGAGTTACGATACGGGTTGGAAAATCGAGCTTTTTTGCTATCACGGTTCTACAAAAGTTGCAAAAGGGTGACTACGGGGGTTTAGTGACTTGGGTTTCAAAGGCTGTGGGCTTTAAGACCCGCGACCCAAAACTCGATTTGCAGCCTAGAGGGCCCAGAGCCTTCCAGCTTCAACTCTCTTTGCGTCCTAAACCCTACAGTAGGTTTTAATGTGGGGCCTTAATAATTTGAATAGGTTTCGGGGCATAGTATACTTTAAGTATAATCATGAGGAGCCACCTCTTCAGACCCCCCATATTAGGGCTCTTTGGGGTAGGTCGCGGTCGTCTTGGGCTTTCGGGTCTCGGACATCCGAGGCTGGAGGTCGCTGGCACGTGCTTGAAGCAGAAACCCAGGCCCGGCGCGGTTAGCATAATGCTTTAGGACATGATATTATATAACATCATGTAATGTAAAGTGTAATTTCATGTAAAATAGTGTAATATCATGTAATTTAATGTAATAATAGCGTAATATCATGTAATGTAATGTAATATCATGTAATGTAATGTAATATCATGTAACATAATGTAGTATAATGTAATATATTGTCGTTCAATGTCGTAATATGATGTAAGATAATGTAACGGAGTGTAATATGAAGCAGAGGCCTAGGCCGGGTTTTGGGTTGGCCTACGGGAATTGTGTGTAAAGTAGGGGCCTTAACAATAACCTTTGCTACTTTGGGGGTTCCTTGTTGTCATTATGGTCTAATGGGCTCCATAACCCTATTCTAATGATGAAGGCCCCTATAGTAGCTTGTTGTTAAGTTGAGTCGGTTGTACAACGCAATAGATGCAACACAGAGTCTGGGAGGCTCTAGAGCGGCTGTCCGTTGCTGTCTTTCAAAGCATGTGCGTTTCAGGGGCAACCTTTGCGGCTCGGGTGCGCGGGGTTTACCACAAGCCATAAGCCGCTCATGAATCTGCCCCATCATGAGTTCGGTTCTACCCCTATACTGAGCCTTATATATACGTCCCTTTCCATCCCGAACCCTTCCCGCCTTCAGCGCCAAACCCCGAAGACCCGAAGACCTTTGGATCCTCTTCCTTTTTTGAAGCCTCAACAGCAGTGGTGTCTTGTAGAGGTCGCACGAAGTCTCCTTTTTCTGTGGAACACCCGGGTTTCTGGCCATATCCTGTGTGACGCCCGAGCCTCAGGTAGGGATCGCTTGACGTCAGGATACTATAGGGGCCTGGAAATAATTACCTATACTATCTTGGGGTTCTTATTATAATTATGGCATAATGGGCCCCAAAACCCTCTTCTAATTATTAAGGCCCCTACATTGCCTTGTCGCCATCCCTTCCTGAACTGCTAGTAGCAGGTATCTTGGAGGTCCCATACATGACGCAGCGAATTGAATAGCAGATGTACCGTAACGGGAGCCTAGTTTGGGATCCTCGTTTTCTTAAGGCACCTACGTGGAAGGCTTGGGAGTTCCGCCTCTAGTTGCCCAGAAAGCCCAATACCCCTTAATTAAGGAATATAGCTTGAATTATAATGTGAAGCCCTAGCTTAAATCATAATGTGAAGCCCTGTTTAATTGAAGCCATATTTCCTTAATTAAGGGGTATTTCAACCTCAAGAACCCGAAGTCCGGAGAACCCCAGTTGGTTAATGTAGGAACCTGATTCAGAAACCCCGGGCCTATAACCCAAAATAGTCGGATTCATAAAGGGAACCCTAATAAAAGCCCAAGGTTTCTTAATCAGGTTCCTACAGGACTTTAGAGATTTTGGGGCGCAGAGCTCCGGCTTCAGAGAGCCTTGACCCTGAACCCAAACCCTAAACCATAAAGCCAAATCCGATATCATACTCCCCAAAATCCTACTGAGCCCTAAACCACAACCCCAAACCCTAATTCTCTTTCTGAAGCCCTAAACCATAAACCCCCAAATCAACAAATAAACCCTGAACTAAACCCTATACTAATGGACTAAACCTTGAGCCAAGCCCTACACTTCCTGGGCTTTGGAGTTATAACTTTCTTTCTTAAAGGAACCATTCTGAAATAAAAGTCTATACTTTTTTCTCCCTGGTTACTTAACGGCCCTACGCTTCCTTTCACGGAGGTGTCATGCGCTGGGAGACTCCGCCGGCTGCCTGGGGCATTTCGGCCCGAAGTCTTTCGCTGTCTTATAGGGATGACTAGGACCCAGAGTAGGCCCTTATTCCCTTTTTTGGGGTTCAGGTTCCCTTATGAGCCCCTATAAAACCAAAAAGGGCACCCTTTTTATTCCTAGGTTACTCTTGGGTCTAGATGAGGGTTTGCTTGGATGTTCATGGCTAGTTAGAAGTGGGGTTATAAGTCCCCTAATATGGGATATAACTATAATAACCCCACTTATAACTACCCATGAACCTCCAAGTAGGGTTTACTTGTGTTTCTATGGTGTGCACAGAGTTTTTGGGGTTTGGTCGCGTTCTCGGGCTTGGCTTGAGGGATTCGGGTTTGGGGTGTAGGGATTAGGGTTTGGGGGATCGGGATGAGGGTTTGGGGTTTGGGGGTAAGGGTGTAGGGTTTCGGGGTGATAGGGTTTAGGATATGGGGTGGAGGGTCTGGTTTCGGGGTCTCGAGTTCCACGTCTGGGGCTTCATTAATGTGAACTCAAGGGCTTTAATTTTAAACGGTCATTATTACTAGTGCTCTCGCCGTAACGGGTTGAGCAGTAGGGTTTGGCTCATGGTGGCTGCGTTGATTCGCAAGCTTTGGGTCTTGGGGCTTCGCGGTTTCCAGCACTCTATCGCACTGAACCGGGAGGGCGGCGGGTAAACGATGCCCTGTTCAACCAGCTCAAAAAATGACCAATACTCCGAAACAACACTTGTTCTAACCAAGCTTTGGGAATGAGTTCGATGAAATTTCAACAGAAGCTCCAAGCTCTTATCCTAAAAGAAAGCCTTAACCCTAAACTCACCCAAAACCAACCTAAACCCCAGACCCGAAACCAGCCTAAGCCCTAAACCGGCCTACACCCTAAAGCAGTGTGAGCCCAAAGCCAAAAGGCACTTGCGCAGACTCCTGGAGTGGAGCGGCGCTGCCCATCGCTCGGACTACGTTGGAGACTTCCGAATCCCTTTGCTGAAATGATCCTGAACAAGTAGAGAGGTTGAGTAGTACGAGGCTTCATGGTTTCAGGTTACAGTTGCAGCTATAGTCCAATTCAGAATAATTAATATACTTCCCTCACCCTACTTACTTATTCTGGCCCATATATCCAAGCCTTAAACCCCAAAGCCCTAAGCCCTAAAATATATCCAACCCTTAAACCCCAAAGCCCTGAACCCTGAGCCGAGCCTGAAGCCTAAATCCCCGGAGCCCCAAAACCTGAAGCCCGAAACTCTCAAGTGCTTCCGCATCTCCGGGCCTGTAGGCCTTCGCCGATGCTTTTTGTGGGGACAGGGGTTGCAGACATAAAAAAAAGTAGGGTTTCGGGTTTAGGGTTTAGGGCTTCGGGTTTAGGGTATAGGGTTCAGGGCTTATAGGGCTTAGGGTTTAGAGTAGCTCAGCAAAAAACTCTCAAGTGCCGAGGCCGTACACCATCCGGAGGATGAGCTGCTCTTCGGGAGAGCCGGCTACCTCTATGCGCTGCTGTGGGTGAGGCCCAGGGGGCCTGGGTTTCCCGCGGTGGGGACTGCTAGAAGCCCTCAAAGGAGCCCGTGACGCAGCGCTCAAGGGATCCCTTAAAGCACCCTGTAAACGAACCTTAGAAGTCAGATGCCCCAAAACCCTAAAGCCTTAAAGGAAGGATCCCTTGAAGGACCCTTAAAGCCACCTTAGAAGTTAGAAGCCCTAAAACCCTACACCCTACTCCCCTAAAGGACCCTTTAAAGGAAGCTTGGAAGCCCTATGAAGCCCTAAACCCTAGAAAGGAACCCTAGAAGGATCCTAAACCCTAGATCCTAAACGCCCTAAACCCTGGCAGCCCCAAAAGGCGGCGAGTGGGTGCGGAGGCGGCAGACTTCGCCACGCCGCTGCGGGCGGTGGCGGAGCGGCTGGTGCTGCCGGCTCGAGTTTCAGAGTTTTGGAGGGTTCCTGTAAGGGGTCCTAGAGACGATGGGTTAGGGTTATAGAGGGCTTCTATAAATGGTAATACATGAGGGCGGTTTGGGTTAGAGAGTGTTCTTGTGAGGGGTCCTAGAGACTATGGGTTAGGGTTATGGAGGGTTTCTATAAACGGTCCTTTATTAGGGCTCTTTGGGCTAGAGAGTGTTCCTATCAGGGGTCCTAAAGACTTTGGGTTAGGGTTTTAGAGGGTTCCTATAAACGGTCCTCTATAAGGGCTCCTATAGACTTTGGGTTTGGGTTAGAGAGTGTTCTTGTGAGGGGTCCTAGAGACTATGGGTTAGGGTTATGGAGGGTTTCTATAAACGGTCCTTTATTAGGGCTCTTTGGGCTAAAGAGTGTTCCTATCAGGGGTCCTAAAGACTTTGGGTTAGGGTTATAGAGGGTTCCTATAAACGGTCCTCTATAAGGGCTCCTATAGACTTTGGGTTTGGGTTAGAGAGTGTTCCTATCAGGGGTCCTAGAGACTTTGGGTTGGGGTTATAGAGGGTTCCTATGAGGGGTCCTATAGTCTTTGGGTAAGGGTTTAGAGTCTTTGGGTTAGTGCTGTAGAGGGTTTCTACACAGGATCTGAGTTTAGGCGTTTAGGGTCTAGGGTTAAGGGTTCAGGATTTAGAGTTGAGGGGGGTGTTGGAGAGCCCGTACGGGATTCAAAAAGGTAGATCCCCCAAAAGGGTAACTAAACCTGACTCCTTCGTCCCAGTTCCTCTTTGACTTTGTTTGGGTTAAGGAGGGCAAATCTAAGTGATGGAGGCAAGGCCTTGAAACCTAAACCCTGCACCCCATCGAAAAGGAGCCCTTAATGCAAGAAAAACCCTAAACCCCGACAGCCCTAAAGCCCCAAACCCTAAACCCCGACAGCCCTAAAGCCCCAAACCCTAAACCACAAAGCCCTAAAGCCCTAAGCCCTAAACCCGTGGCTTTGGCTCAAGGCCGTTTGGATTAAGGTGTTTCCTAGCTGCCCCCATCCTTTCCTTGTCAGTGCTTGGCGCAGCTCTTCCCGACGATTCTGTTGACCATCGCGGAGGACAATTGCGACCTCACTGCCTACTGCCTGTTTAGGGTGAATCTCACTGACCTCCCTGGGTGTACAGCTCGTTCTCCTTCTACCCGATTCTCTTCGAGATGGCCGCACCCACTCCTACTGAAATCGGTGACTCTGATGACGACCTCAAAATTGAAGAGAAGAGCGATGCTGAGGAGCTGCAGCCTGATGCGATGAAGGTGGATGGTGTGCCTCCTTCCTCCAAGAACGGTGGCACTGGTGGCAGCCCTTCGCGAGTCAAGCGACCTAGAGATCCTGATCGAGGGTCGTCAAATCGTCGTCTGCTTTCCCCAGGGGATGATCGGCCTGTTAGCTCCCGTGAATTTCGAAGCCTTTTGCAGCAGCATCTCCAGACAATGACGCAGGCGTGGCAAGACATCAATACTCGGGTGTCCAAGAATGAGGAGGATGTTAAAGCTGCACATCAGGAACTTCTTGCTGGCAAGAATGAAAAGGAGCTGATGTATGCAAGGATTGCCGGTTCCGAGAGGAAACAGACTGAGACTGCAACAAGGGTGTCTAACCTTGAGAAGGACCTTGAGGAGATCAAGAAGAAGGCAGTTGCAAACCCACCTGGAGAAGTTCAACAGGATCCTTGGTCTGCGTACCGTGCGCAAAATGGTCCTCTTCTTTCCCCTGGGGGTGTTAAAGCACAAGCCAGCACGGGTGTTCAAGGTGATGCTCGGGACCCTGGTCCAGGTCGTGATGAACTTTCTGAAGAAGATAGACGCACTCTGGTGGTTGGGGGGTGGTTGCAGGACAGCAAGCGGCAGACGATCCAGGATGAGGCTGCAGAGTTCCTTCGCAGAGAGGATGTGAAACCTCATGTGGATGCACAGGAGCTGATCGTTTTTGGCCCTCGTCGATCGTTCGGTCTTCTTCGATTTAAAACCCGAGCTGATGAAGGGGCCAAAGAGGTAAGAGATCGAATGTGGAGGGTGATTCAATGTCTTCGTGCTCAACCACATCGCCTTGGCTCGACTGGGTCCGTTGCCTCTGGGATTGAAGGAAAACCTATGTGGGCGCAGTTTGTAAAAACACGTGAGGCCCGCAGACGCAGCAGCCATGGTTCTCTTCTTCGTCGGGTGTGTGTGACCTTAGTCAAGGACGCTGCTGCCAACAAGGAGGCCCACAATGCCATGGCGCTCGAGGAGTCTGCTTACGATGTCGACTGGAATGCAGGGACAGTGTGGATGGGTGAGTGGAAGCTGGGTTCGAGTACCCACAGGGCACCTCCTGGTGATGACGTCAAACTCTTGAGCAGTGGATGGGTGGATATTGGCTCCGTGAGCAAGGCACTTGGTGTGGCATGGGACGTTGCCCTTGGTGCCTTTGAACGTGAGCTGTGAAAGCGGGAAGACCTTTGTTTCACTGCTAGTCTACCTGGCCCTCTCTCTCAAGGAGATGGATGTGCTGGGAATCTTCAAGATGCGAAACGGGGTGGGTCCTCGAATGCAGTACCTCAAAGGAACATGCGCCTAGATCTTGCCTCGTGGAATTTGGGTGGTCAACCTCTGTCCAAAGTCGACATAGTGAGTGGTCGCCTTGATGCTCTATGCATTCAAGAGGCCCCTCGTGCTGAACCGGGTGGGCGTGAAGAATGTACTGATGGTTTTACTTGGTTGCTTCATCAAAGCTCAAGCCAGTGGAGGGGTGTGGGAATTGGAGTGGCATATGATATCTTCGACTGCACAACAGATCGCCGGTGCTGCTCTCATGGCGCTGCGTGGGTGGTCCGATTGAAAAGTGCCAAGCGTTTTGTCCTTGGAGCTCTTCACCTGCCGACGGGCGTTACAGTCCCTGAGTACTACAAGGCGACGATGGCGTTCAAGCAGATGCTCCGTGGGTGGCACAGTGATCTTCCTTGCTTTGTCGGTGTCGATGTGAATGCTGAGCTTCTGTGGAGTCGGGCAGATGATCGTGAACGTGATGTGGGCGTGCAGTCTGGTGGAAAGATCGACAAATTCTTGGAGATGTGCAGCTCACTACTTCTCCATATACAGGTCCCTTGTGTTGCACATCGGTGGGTTCCTACTCACTATCCTCGCGATGAACTACGCGAAGGAAGGCACATTGACTGTATCCTTGTGAGGGGTGCTGCAAGTACTCCGGTGGTTGTGAATGCGGATGTTCGCCTACATATCAACAGTGATCACGCTCGAATGGAGTGCTGTGTTGAGATTCAGAAGACCCGGGGTGGCAAATGGAGAGACAGTCGAGCTCTCTGGGTTGTTGAATCTGACATGCTGTTTGAGCCATCATCGTGGGAGGATGTCAAGAAAATGGCGCAACTATACACTCGACCTCGCCAAGCCGATCGCTTCCGTGACGATGATGAGACCAAGGATTGCATCGCTGAAGCCAAAGCTGCTCGGGGTGTCATGGCCAAGGACCTCTGGAAGAAGGTGCATGATCTTAGACGCTCCAAGAGACGTCAATGGAAGCATCGGCGACTCATGGCCATCGTGGGTGGTAACTGGCAAGTGTACCGCGAGTACAAGCGTGAACAAAATCGTCGCAACTGGTGGGGGCAACTACTACAAGACCAAACTGCTTCGTCGCTTGGCCTTGCAGTGACAAGGCATTTGGATGGCAAGCTTCGTGACCCCGAAGTGGACTGGCAGACCGAGCTCGAGGAACTTGTTCAGGGTGTGCACTGTCAGGTTGGCGCCTTTGTGCCCATTCGGTGCGAAGAAATCCAGATGGCCCTCACTTCGATGCGTGCAAGATCGGCCTTAGGACCTGACCAGATTGGGGTGGACTTGCTTCGGAAGATCCACGAGTTTGCAGCTCCGGCCTTATGTCGTCTCTTCAACGAGGTCCTCTTCTCCGGGCGTCTTCCTGATGATTGGGGTGTGTCTTTGTTAGCACTCCTCCCGAAAACACGCTGGCCAACGGGGGCCTCCGAGCTTCGACCCATAGCCATGTCATGCACGGCGATGAAGGCAATGTCCAAAGTGATCATGGCCCGAACCTTTGGGTGGCTTCGTGATCCATGCCCTTGGACGGCCGCGGGCAGTGGACGGTCCTGTGCTGACATGCATGGGGCGTTTAGCCGACTCCGTGATATGGTTCGCGAATGGCGCTTGGGTGTTGTCGCCGTCAAATTGGACATACGTGGTGCTTTCGATCACGTACATCGTCGGGCGGTTGCCAAATTTGTGCTCGATCATCTCGGACAAGAAGACGTGCCCTTCGAGCTTCGCTTTCTTCTACGACTGCTGGATGTCAACTGGTTGGAAGGATGTGCCCCCGGGGGTGCGAATGTTCGGGTGGAGAGCAATCGTGGGATTCGTCAAGGGTCGCCCGAGTCGGCCGAGATCTTTGGATTGCTGATCGCTGGTATCATCACACGACTTAAGAACGGTGACAGCTGGAAGGCGCCGGGCGGAGATCTTGGTGATATACCTGCGGATGTGGGTTGTTACCAGGACGATGTCTTTTTGTGGGGTGGCTCTGCTACAGTCCTGACGCATAACATTGGTCTGATCTCTAGTGCCTTGCGTGAGATTGGGCTTTCCTTGGCGTCAGACAAAACTGCCGTGATTGCCTCCAAGTACTACAAAGGACTTCGATATGTTCATGTGGATGGTCTTCGTGTCGAGTTCCTGCCTGCGGGTAGCTCACTGAGGGTGTTGGGTCTTGACTTTGACCTCGATGCCCCTGCACACCAGCAGGCCAAGGAACTGATGGGACGGGTCTGGTCAGCTTTCCATGCCAACAAGCAGATTCTGTGCGGTCCTGGGTCCCGCAATATGAAGGCGTACCTCGTCCGCATGCTCATCGAGGGGTGTTGGAGCTGGACAGCAGGATCGCTGCACTGGGAAAAGGACGACCTACAAGCAATGAACTCCTTGCAGCTTAGGGTGCTCCGCCTATGCTTTGGGTGTCCTCGTCAAGATGGTGAAGATTGGGTGTCGTATAACTCTCGTTCTCTTCGTGATCTACGTGCCTGGGTCCATTCCAACAGCGTTGAGAGGTGGAGCTCCAAAATTCTTCGGCTCCAGTTCCAACTTATGGGCCATTGGGGGCGGAGATGGGAAGGGGACGTGCGCTGCTTGGCTGCGCGCATGCAACTCTGGCGTTCACTTGGGTGGTGGCAAGCTGAACAAAAGGTTAGTCCGGCGGCAGGTGGCAAGCGACATCCCACGTGCTTCCGTGCTGCAAACCTTGAACGTAGCTTAGCAAGTGCTGTGGGCGTGGATTGGGCAACTGCCTGTGGCAACCGCGATGGGTGGAAACAGCTCCTACAGTTGTGGTTGTGTGTTGAAGATGTGCCGTGGAGTCGAGGGCGTCAACTTGAGTTGGGATGTTAGACTTGTGCTCGTGTGTGCCTGCAGTTTGTCATGTCCCGCAAGTGAAGCTTCTGGCTGATTGGTGAGGACATGTCTGTGTGGTATCGCGCTCTCCCCTCAAGCTGCTGAACAAATTGAGCATGTGATGTACCTGCATGACGTGAATGTGAACTGTACGACTTGAATGTGAACCTGTCGCAAACTTGGATGTGTGGTGGATGTGAACGAACTGTAGTCTGTTGAAAATCGCAAACATGGCCGTGCGCGGACGTTGTGCTACCTGGGCGCTGCTCCTTGGTTCACTGGGAGGCTTTCTTCGTGCTGTAAGCCCTCATGATGTGCCCTCGTCGACTACAACCACGTCAATCCATGGAGCCGAGACGTGCACTGGGATGACTGCCTTTGGGGTGGATACTGGCTGTTACTGCTGCTGCTTGTCTTCTACGACTACTACCTCTTCGGCCACTACGGATGGTGATGCTCGTCCTGATGCACAACCACATCCTGAACCGCTTCCGGATGCCACTGCAACTGGGTGGAATGATCGTCCTCAAGTTCCACGTCGCTGGAGTCGCAGTCGTGGCCGTGGAGAACATATGGACCGTGCCTGGGAGACCGATGCTGGTTCTTCGACTACTATGGATGGTGGTGGATGGTCTGGCTGGACTTCGTGGACGGGCCATTCCTCGTCTTCTTGGCCCTCGTGGACATCGTGGCCGCAGACTGGGACGGGGTGGATGCATTCGGATGGGGATAACTGGATGTCGTGGAGTACCTGGTCACAACCGTGGACAAGCTCTTCTTCTTCCTCTTCGCCCTGGGTGGAAACCTGGCAGAATGCTCAGGGAAACTGGCGTGAATATCGGGATGGTGTTGGGGTGCCACGTCGTGCTCGTGATCCACAAGGTTTCTGGCGTGCCGGTCGCTGGGTTCCGCGCGGAAGAACTGAGTCTGAAGAAAGACTCCATCGGGGTGGTCAAGGTCCAGTACGCCAGGAACGTCGTCAACGTCGTGTGGAACAATGGCAGGATGGTACTTTCCGTCCTGCTGCAATTCGTCGTGGGGTTCCTCCTCGTGATGATCCTGCTATGGTGGCACTAAGGGAACAAATGACAGCCCTTCTTCGACGTGGAGCTCCTGTGGATGGTGCTCCTCCTCGGTGGACGTCTGCACAGTGGGAAGACTGGGAGAGGTGGGTGAATCCTGTTCTAGTTGTGGATTGGATGGCTTCTGGACTACCTCATGCCTACTTCGTTCCTGATGAGGAAGATATTGAGGATGGGACCTTTATGCAGCTGTCGATGCATGAGGAGGATATTCTACATCGTCTGGGTGTTCCTGACTCAGTTCGACGAGACCTTCGAGATCTACTTCGTACACTTGTTAACCATCAACATGATGACGTCGGTGCTGAATACAGATGGGGACTTCAGCGATGGTTACATGCTTGGGAGCAGGGGTGTCGTGAAGCTGGTGAATTGGTTGATCTTCTTCGTCGTCGAGTTGAAGGACCTGTGCCCTACTTTCCAGTGGTTCGTGATCCTGGCCACAATGCTCAGCGGACTAGGTGTGTTGAGTTCAATCGGCAGTGGACTCCTGTCGTTGGGTCGGCCCTTGAAGCCTTGGTGGATCGGGCTATGGCATCGGGTCCAACGACGGGTGGCTCCTCCGGAAGTGGTCGTGTCCGTTCTCGCAGTCCACGACGTGGTCCTGTGGTGGATGTTTCCTCCTCCAGCTCAGACGAGATGGCCACAACACCTGCAGTTGGTGAGGAGACTGCTCTGGCGGGCACTGCTGGGCCTGGTCCAGATGGTGATCCTAATGCCGAAACTCCTCCTGCCGAAGTTCCTGAAGCTCCTGCTGCCGCCGAAGGTCCTTCTGCCGAAGTTCCTGCTGCTGACGTACATGCTGGTGACGGTGGGGATGTTCTTTCGATGATGCAGAGGTTGCAGACCGAGGAAGCGAACAGACTCCTGGAGATGGGTGTTCGTCGTCAGACTGTGTCCAGTTTGGGTGTCTTCCTTGATAGGCTTGCTACTGCTGAGCAGCGTGGTGGTGACTTGAGGAGGAGTACGGTGCAGTGGTGTTTGCATGCCATGGACCGCTCGGTTCAAAGGGGTGTGCAGATGCAAGACGAAATTTGTGCCGTTCTTGCGCGTCGACTGGATCCTCCACCGGGGGGTGTTATTGAGCTACCTGACGAAGAACAGCGTGGTGAGGCGGTACAAACGGCACACGAGTTGTGTGTTGGGATGGCTCGCTCCTACTTGCTAGCCTTGCACAACAGCATGTCCGATGCTTGGTTGGATCCTGAAAACCTCCCGCTGCATCTTCGGGGTGTGCCGGCGCTCTCATCGGATGAGTCTGGGCCACATTGTGCTCCCTCGAGGTCTCGGAGTCCACGGCGCGCGGTGGATGACGCTGGGGGTGATGCTGCCTCTTCGCAAGGCTATGACACTACGTCCCTCATGCAACGACTCAATATCAATGAGGACCAGATCCTGGACGATGCGGGTGTAGATGTCCGCTGTCGAGGTGCTCTCCGAGGCCTACTGGAGAGGCTTCACATGTGCCGTGCTCAATCCGGGGGTGTAGATGATGCTGCCTGGTATGTCGGGGTCCTTATCCACACGATGCGTGAAGTGGTTGAGGCCTTGCAGGGGGTGTGCAACTTTTTGCAGACACGCGCTGAGCATGTACATCGTCTTCCTCCTGAACGCGAACGTGAATACCTGCTGGCTATGAGCCAAGAATTGGTGGAGACAGCAGGCCAGATGGTGCATGACCTCTTGGCGACGGGTGTGGAGTCGGCTTGGGTGGATCCCTACGTACTTCCGTGTCATCTTCAACCACATCCTCCGCGCCGTGAGCGCTCGCGCAGCCGTGGACGTGGCGTTTCGGGATTATGTCCAGATCCTTCCTCCTCTACATGTCCTGCTCCGGTTGGGATGTCTGGTGCTACTTCCTCGTCTTTGCCCTCGAGTTCCATGGATGGTATTCCTGATGCTGGGGGTGTGGTGGACACGCCTTCTTTCCTGCCTGCCGTGACGGGTGTACCGCTGACTATGACGACTACAAGTTCTGAGGATGTTTCACTCAGTTGAGGGCATAATGCCAGCGCCTGTTTGGAAGAAAGAGGCGCAGTTCAGCTTTAAAAAAAAAAACCCGTAAAAAAAAACCTTAAAGCCCTAACTCTGAATCGCTGCCGGAGCCCGGGCCATTGAGACATCAAAAAACTCCGGAGCCCCAAGCCTCTGCCGTTGAGTAGCTGGGTACTTAAAGGATCATGGGACTTAGTAGCTAGGGTTATAATTAGGGTATCTGTACTTATAACTACTTATAACCCAATTAAGGTACCTGTAACCTGCCTTACTAAGTCCAATGATCCTCCAAGTGGGTGACCTGCCGGACGCCATGGCTGAAACTTGACATGTTAAAGCGTTTATGCCCGAAGCTGCCCTAACTTGGCTCCGTTTCCCACGATTCCAGCCCTAAACCTTAATTCTAAATCCTAATCGACAGGTTAGCATTGTTGGCTTACCACCTCGAAGCTTGCTACCAGGTAGAGACGGGGCCCGGACACCCGGGGGGCGACCTGCGTTATTGCGAGGCATTTGGGGGTCGTACTACGCTCTTGTCAGGTTGCTACCAGGGTTACGAAAAGGTATCTACAAGGGTTCTATAGCGGTTTGCCCGCCTACCATGATAGTTCGAGCAGGGTTTCGAAGTCGGGTACGGTATAACTGGTATAACTTCATCGCTATCGAAGGGTAAGGTTTACGGAAGTTAGGGGTTGTGGGGTTATGGTTCATTCATGCTAAACCCTACACCCTACACCGTAAAACCCTAAAGTGGAGATTGTGACTTCCAGGAGACCACTACCACTATCCTACGCGGGCGCATCGGGTTTTCAGTTGTATCTTAGGGACCCAGAAAGCACATAGGCATAAGCATGTTATAAGGATATTCCCACCTTATTGGGCTTCACTATAAGGGGGTTTATATGGGATATCACTATCCTCCTTTTTGCTTAGGCGCTTTTTTGGGCCCTATTATCGGGCTTTCAAACGTTTGATGTGGTTCTTACAGGCCCTCCATGTTCAGGCTTTCTCAGATCTAGGGTAGGGTCCGAGGTCAAGGTTCAACGCTAAGCTGACCTACCCTCGCCCACGCATAAGTACGAATGAATAAATCTGCAGTTATGTGTGTGTATATATCTAGATTTCCATATATATATATGTATATGTATATGTATATGTATATGTATATGTATATGTATATGTATATGTATATATATATATATACATATATATATATATATATATATATATATATATGAATTATACAGATATGTGTATGTACAAACAAATAAATTAGTATATATATATATGTGTATATACCTATATATACATAGATATAGATATGTTCGGGTATGAGGCTCCGTAAGCTGGGTGTCATTGGGGCAAGCGGTGGAGAGGAACAGAGTGCGATTAAACGTACACACTATGACCTAACCCCCCCACCAACGAACCTCACCTACCCCCAGGATTTGGGTTAAAGGCTGCAGGGTTTCAGGGTTTGAAGGGCGTAGAGTTGGGTGGACGTGGGACCCTGCTTCAGGAATTCAAGGTCCAGGAGCATCCGCATCACTAATGTAGAAGCAAACATAATTACCAATATTGCTTATAGTATTAAGGAGGCCAAACCCCATTCGAATTATTACGGCCCCTATAGTAGGCGCATGGAGTTTTCCCCAAGTCAACAGATGTCCAATCGGGAGGTGCTCCCAAGGAACTGCTGTTCAGAGTGAGTACTATTTTCCTTTGCTCTCTGAAAATTTTTACTTTCTACCCCTGAATGTCCTCGACCTCAAAACCCGCAACTGTACACTTTAAACCGGACTTTGCTCCAAAACCCAAGTGCTACGCCCCAAAGCCCTGACCCTAAAAGCCCAAACTCCGAACTTTCAAACCCGTCTCATCCTTGAAGGGCCTCTCATAAAAGCCCTTTGTAGGACCGCTTGTAGGGACGCTATAGACCGTAAGCTCGCCCACCCCCCCCTCTCCCCCAAGTGCGGAGCTTTTTTTCGGGCCGAGGCGCGCCCGAGCTGAAAAGAGCTACGACTGGCCTTTGATGTGGCCCCGCTGGGCCTGTTTCTCATAGGGGAAAAGGAGGGACCCTTAATGGGTACCCCTACCCTATAATGGGCTATATAATGGGTATATAGCTATTAAGGGTATAGTTTTCTTTTTCAGGTGTTGGGATTGAGGGTTTAGGGGTTAAGGTTCGGGATTTTTTTGGGGTTCTTTGCTTTTGAGGGGTTGGTTTTAGTCGAAGAGGGTTTAGGGTTCTTCGGGCGGTTGGGAGACTTAGGGGTCCCTGTTTGACTATGCTTTGAGGCTTGGGGCTTAGGGCCTAGGCTTGAATGTGCAACTTGTGAGTGTTTTGTACCCCCAAACCCGATGCTACTTGTGAAGCCCCCTTTCATAGGACCTGAGGTTTAGAGTTACCGGTTCGGGGTTTGCGGGTTTTGGGCATGTGGGGTTTGGAGGTTTGCTCGAATGTGCTGATTTCTTCAAGTGCAGTCACGGGCCTCGAGTTGCAGCGAAAGAACGAATCATAAAATTTCAACAGTCCCCATATTTCATTCTAGTAGTTGTTATATTGCTTCCCCGAAAAATCGAAAGCCAAAAAGAGAAGACCGCTGAGTAAAGCCGTCTAGTTGAGTAAGAGGGGTTGGGCCATCACACAAGCCCTGACGACCCGAAATGCTTCCGAAAATCCCACCACCCCAAAGCCTAAAGCCGATAACTGCGAACCCTAAAGCCCTCAAGCCCTAAACTTGGGTTTTTTTCAGGCATTTAGGCTTTTTGGGTTTTAAGCCCCTGCAAACTTCATTGAGTCTCTTGACTGAGAGATGTTCCTGTGCTCTCAAGGGCAACCCACCCCGCAGCCAGGCACTGCTTCAAGGAGCCCTATATAGGCGCAGCGCACGGCGTGGTGATTCTGGCCCTGTTGAGCATGCAGAGCTCATGGCACATGCTGAACCCAAAACCCTGAAGGAGGGTTTCGACGTTTCAGGATTCAGACGTTCAGAGTCCTACTTTAACGAGCCTGTGGGTTCTAATTGCAGAACAGAGTACTCTGAAGTCTGTAATATGCTTCAATCTATGGTGGGGTCCTGGTTATGCGTTAATGTCTGGCTTTATTTTAACCAAGTCTCTCCGAGCCTCGCATGAGATTGACGCCTCTTCCTGGATCCTAGAGAGACGGGTTTGGTGTTTAGGGCTCAGGGTTAAAGCCCTCAAGCCCTGAAGTGCCCTAAGCTTAAACCCTAAAGTCTAAAGCCTACAGGCTAATCCTAACAGCTGCACCCTAAAACCTTAACTCCCGAATGCCGGGCTGGCTTGTGCTTGGTTCGTTGGACATATGAAGCAAAGAAAGTGTCAGGCTCAGCGTTCGTTCGTATAACAACAGTAGAACGTAATCCAAAGTCCTATTCAACTTGGTAAGGCCCCTAGATACGAGTTTTCTGACATGACAGGTGGGCATTCTGGCCATGCTGCTCCACTGCTACGATCTGCTCAGCGTGCGGGGCTCTGCAGTTGCTTCTTGGGTAGCCCTTTCTCGGTTCGCCACCTCGGCAGAGGCTCATTGAATCGCACTGAGAGTGGGTATCACCCTAAACCCTACCCCCCAAACCCTAAAACCCTAAAGCCCTACAAACCTAAACGTGTCCCGCACTGTCCCATTTCTGCATTTCTGCCCTGTGCGAGCCTCAACAATCAGTAGCCTTTTTTGGCAGACCCATGGGGGGTTTGTTTCCCGGTACGGGGCCTTGCTCTTCGCTTAGGGGTACTTAGTTTGCTAGGGTTCTAAGTTCAGTATAGTTCGGACCTTACCCTATTCCTAAGCAGCAACTGAGGGACTCCGAATCTTAAGAACTCCCGTCTGTTAAGTACTGCATCTTAACCTCCCGAAAACTGCTTTTGAAGAGCGACAGAAAGAAATCATAATGGGAAGCCCGAGAAAAGACAGGTCTTATAGGGTTCAGGTACATCTGACACCCCCCTCTAAGCCAAGGCGAGCAGCCAGCAGCTCGTTGGAGCAACCCTGGACAAGCCGACGTCTCAGCCCGACCAAGGGTAACAGGGTTTGGGATGTTCCGGGTTGGAGTTTAATGTGCCGGGTTTTGGGTTTCGAGTTTATTTGTTTACTGTACCGGTCTGACTACCGTTTCAAGCCTGTGCTATAACGCGTCAAGCAAGCAAGGCTCCCATGTTAGGACTTGCAGCTCTGATGGAGATGCCTGCTGCCCTGAATCTCAAACGCTACATTCTCAACCCTGGCTTCCCTTACTGGGGATTGCTGTAGCCTACTTAGAACCTGCTTGTCTCGCTAAGCTCTGCAAAATGACTTTGGTATAGAATGTCAAAAGGTCCTAGCGAGAAGTAGCAGCTTGAAGAGACCAGTTAATGGTTGAAGGGTTTAGGGTTAGGGACAGTGAAAGAAGAGAAGTCCGCCAGCGCATGGACCAAGACTTAAACCTCGAAGCACAATGCAAATAACTGAGCTCCTGGTAATTCTGAGGATCCCCTCGTAGATTTTGAACACAGACCTTGCCTTCCCAAACCCTGGTCTTGTCGGGGCTGTGCATGAAGTCCTTGTGGGTCCCGTACATGAAGTCCTTATAAATCCCTACAGGCCTTTACAGCAACCTACAAAGCCAAAATCTGGGACCGCCGGCCCTACACCCTAAACCTCATAACAGTTCTTATAGGACTACCCCGTCTGTTTCGAAAACTACTACAAGGCTTCAATAATCACCAATACCGTTTTGGTGCTTCCTTGTTATATTTGTAGGATAATGGGCCCCCAAAACCCTATTCTAGTGATTGAGGCCCATATGGGAGTTTTCCGAAAATAGGGGACCCTAATATAAAACCCTTTATAGTAGGATCCTTATTATAAGGACCCCAAAATAAGGTACCCCTTATTTTCGGAAACTCTAACTCCTTATAGTAACCCTTTAAAGGAACCCTTATAGTAACCCTTATTAGAGAACGCCAACACCTCTTACAGGAGGCTTGTTCAAAGACAGCTCAGACCATGGGCGCGGCGCTCGATTCGGAAGTTAGTTTTTCCAACGCCAACAAAGCTGTGCAGGATCTAAGGTTGTACAGAGTAGATCTACTGCTTCGAAATTAGCTGGCTTCTGCCGATCATGGCATGCTGCAAAATCTATACATACTGCTCGTGGCGGCACAAGGGACCTTCGCGTAGCCTTCCCTGAAGCCGACCCGCAGCGACACACAGCACTCACAGCGCTAATTCTGACTTCCATCACTCCTCCTTGGACCTGCCGCTAGGTCTGGGCCACGCGAACTTTGTCCGGAGGTCAAGAGTGTCGTATTAAACACTCTTTCGTACTCTCTTGCACGCTCAAGATCACGGCCATAATCAGCAGACTTATCCGGATCATCTGCTGCCCTTCCCAGACAGTACTGGCACAATCGTCGCCGCTCCACACGGTCCAGCGTGCCCCGATGTCTGAAGGCATGACAATCGCCGTAAACATGATAGCAATCATTGCCCGGGACTACAAATGCTTCCTCTGGCGGCTCGTGCACATACCTCAGTATCACACGTACCCCCGGTGACTGCACAGGGGAAATCGCTGCAGTCTGCACTGACTGATCGTGGGTCTCTTTCACGCCCTGCGCCAGCCTTCTCAGCAACTCAATTCTCTCCTCTTGGTGAGCATCCGGTTCAGGAGCACGTTGCAGGGCCCGTCTCGGTGGATCTGGCCTCTGAATAGAGGGTGCCCTCAAGGAGTCTTGCCCTCTCTGCTCGGCTCGGCCACCTGTTCGCTCCACAATCTCCTTCTGGATCGCCTCTGTTGTTGCATCCCTGAGCTTTTGCAATCTTCGCAGTCGCCTCGTTCTCGAACCCGGTGACGCCCGATCGTACACTGTCCACGCTACCCACTTTACCAGTTCCCAGGCTACCACGCCCAAAAGAACCAACACCCAGAGACACATCCATGTGACCAGTCCATAGTCTACAGACACTGTACTTCCGTAAACAATAACCTGATCTTCGCGAACAGCTTCTCCAGTTGTGGCTTGTGACAGTATAAGCAGCGCAATTAACACCTTAGGGATCGGGCTAGGGTTGTTGCTTGCTACCTGGCTTCCGCGACTGCTGGAGCTTCGATCTCCTTCATGCTCACCTCCGACTCCCTCAACGGTAGTCAACGACTCCATCTCATCAATGAGCCCGATCAAGCAACTCAAGGCTTTGAGCTTCGCAGATGACAAAGGCTTCGTTAGCATATCAGCTGGCTGCACCTCCCCGCTGCAATGGCTGAGCTCAACTACATTCTTCGAGATCAACTCTCCGATCCACGCGCTCTTTAAACGGAGATGACGTGTTCTCCAGCTGCACGACCCATGAGCAATAGCCAATGCCGAGGTACTATCGGAAAGCATCTGCATCTGGAACACTCCGGCGCCAATGTCTTGCAAGACCGCTTGTATTCCCTGCAAAGCCACCAAGCCTTCAACCGCTGCCTCAAGCTCTGCTTCAGCCGTGCTCAAACTTATGCAGGATTGCCGGGACGAACGCCACGCAATCACATTCCCAGCCAACTGAACAATCCATCCAGTGTGGGACCTGTTTGCATCTGGAGCGAACGACGCATCTACAAAGCCGGTGAGGTAGGGCGAGCTTCCTTCATAGATCAGGCTCCTCCCTATCGTCCTTTGGAGGTAGGCTAGGGTCTTTTCACCGATTTCAATTGCTCGTCTCGGAGCCCTGGTTGCAAGCGATCCAATGAGCGAGCACACAAAAGCAATGTCCGGTCTTGTGCGTTGGCTCACCCATAACAGCTCGCCCGCAATCTGTTGTGCCTCACGAATTTCAGCATCGCTTCCAGGCTCTTCGCCCTCAGCAGCACTGAAGCTCGCCTGCTCCTTGGCCAACGGAATCAGGTCCCTCCTCCTCGCCGATGTCTCATGTAGCCTCAGCAGCTCCTCGATGTAGGACCTTTGGGACAATGCAAATCCTTGACTAGTTCTTGAAATCTCAATGCCCAGGAACCTCACACCGCCCTCCGTCACAAGCTGCAGCGGGCTAGTTTTCCAGATTGCCTTGATCGCCGCCGCAAGCTCCCTGATCATCTCGGTCCGGCCACAAAGCAACAGGTCATCAACATAGACAACGAGGATCCCGATCAGTATGGACCCTTCTTGCAACACAGACCACCACGAAGGCTCCACACGTCCTTGTAACAACGTGATCCGTTTGCCGTCTACAATCAACTGCACCTGAGCCAACATCATATCACGGTACATTCCCCAGAGCTTTGGACTTTCTTGTAGTCCGTAGACCGCATGAGTCAGTCTCCAGAGTTCACCCGGTCGACAAAGCCCTGCTTTCACCAGCACCTTCGGCGGGACACCATACACAAGGGGCGCACCTTTCACTGCAGCCAATGGCGTCTGAAGGAACGCCGCCACGATGTCAATCAGCCCCAGGTTCCAATTGAAGAACCGAGCTAGAGCAATGGCTGCCCGCACGATCTCAGCCGGCGCTGTGCTCGCATAGACTTCGCCTGCCTGATGCGATGCCATATTTCCGCAGATCACGATCCTGGACTTTCTCTTGTAGAGGCTTGGAGAATCATCTGCTTCAGTAGGTGGGTCAGGTGGCTTGATTGTATAAACAACTTTCATCGGAATCAACTGTCCCTTGCCAGACGCGAGGTCTCGCATCACATCTGGATCCGTAGACATCACCTTGTCGACCGCATGGTCCAACGAAGAAACTTCCTTCGACAGCGACGGGACCCATTTCTCGAACACTTCAGAAACCTCCCTGGGATTCACGGTGTAGACTACTGATAAAGGCGCAGTCAACCCTTGCAGAATGACCTCAACTCCATCAGTGTAGGTCACCTCGGCCTTCTTTATCGCAGGATTCCGCTCATCACCATGAGGTAGAACAGCCGTTCGTAGGTCGTTATCATCGCCTTCAAGCACCAAATGCATTTCCCAGTCTTCCCAGCTTTCACATGGAATAGAGTCTGGACTCTGCAACGGCATAGTCGAGGATTGAAGAACTGCGGCCCTCGCGGTACTTAGTCTATACGAAACTGCCCAGTCGCACTTGAACAGGTACTCCCCATCAGAGGTTGTAATTACTTCTTGCCACCCACCTTCGCGCACAGGGATGGTCTCATCATCGACTTGCTTTTGAACTTTGCTCGAGGTCACAGATAGGGCATTGATGTAAACTTCAGGCAAGGCCTCCCCATCTTCCAACGGCAACGGAAAACCCAAATCCCAAAGCAACTCCCGATCACCCCGAGGCACAGCAGCAAGTCTTCCTGGAGTATAGCCGACAATCACAATGCGCTCTCCTCTCCAAGGTAAAACCGCATGGCGACGATGTGGGTCGAAGGAGAAAATCGTTCCTTCCTGCAGCGGAAACGCGCATCCATATCTCGCTCTGCCCTCATGCGACAACAGCTCTATGATCTTTCCGGACACAACATCTCCATCACGCAGCTCCATCCACAACTCGCCCCCTCTCCTTGGCATCGACAACGGGAGCAAGTGATTTTCTGCCCCCAACGCATTGTTCCTGTCGATGTGAACTTCCCTCTCATTGTTCATAGACACGAACACTGCCGCAAACTCCGCATCCGGTCCCCGATCCTGCAAGACTCGAGTCAATAGCTTCGCAAACCACGGCCTTTCCACCGTCGCCTTGGTCACTCCAAGCTGTCCTCCATGTCTAAACATCCCGTAAACCCGCTCGGTCTCCGGTAAGACACGCGCCACTTCACGGACCAACGCGTCCGCCTCCTCCTGGGACCAGTCTTGTAGTAGACGCTCAGCTCGCTCACGAAGCACTTCCTCATCTATGAGCTCAGCTTTCGCGACGCCCACAACATCGCCGGATCCTGCAGATTTGCCCCGCAAGCGACGATCAGGTGGCAGAGGTAGTTCAGCATCTACTTCTTCAGCAACTGGACCTGGATCATGTAACCCGGCTCGAACATGTAGAGTGTGGACAAAACGCTCACCATCATCATCCTTGATATAGACTAGGTGAC